GGGGGGGGGGGGGGGGGGGGGGGGGGGGGGGGGGGGGGGGGGGGATGAAGAAAGAAAGGAATAAACAAACAAGCAACAGGAAAAACACAGTGGGAACAGACATACCTGGTTCAGCTCTCGTGATGGACAGTGGAGAGAACAGGAAAGTATAGTCTGTATCCACGGCGGTCATAACCAAGCACTTAAGGAATCCGAAGACTGCCATTCGGTGTCAAGGCGTATACATGCTTCGTGCCAGTCACAGCCTTAACTGAGCCGCAGCAAAGACCCATCACCTGGAGCTGGAGGGACCAGATGTGCAATGTGGACCCAGAGTGGTGTGAGGTGAGGGTGTGAGGAAGGAAGAGAGAAGGAGAAGAAGAAGAAAGAAATAGGGGGAGGGGGGTATTTATATTTCCCCAGTGGTTGAAGACGAGGAAGGAACTAGGGTGACGAGTTTTGACTAAAAGGGAAGGCACATGAGGACATGGGTACCCGGGGGTCTCCTCCTTATGAGCATAAGATCTAGATCCATTGACTGCGTCTAGGTCATGGCTATTATTTATTTGACAACAATCTTGTGAGAGCCACCGGTAACTTCAACCGTTGCAGTACCATGAACATAAGACACTCCTCTCATCAACTGGTCCCCATCAATAGTAATCGAAGGCTTCTTCGACGCAGTGACATAGGGCAAAGTGACATTCCCAACTGTACCCTTCGATACCGAAAAAGTCAACACATATCCACTCGACTTCAAAGTCCAAGACGCTTGAAACTTCCCAAGAGAGGTGACGAAGCCAGCCCCGGTAAATTCCAGATCTCCAAATTGCGGCTCGACTTTCCACGTCAACCCTAGTGGCGATACCACAGAGAGACCGACAACATACTCTGTCAATGCAGAGCTCGGACCGGAGGACCAGCCATGTGCATGTGAGACATATGATGGATCATAGCCATACCCGCGATCCATCGGATACCCGAACGTCCTGTTCTGTAGATAGCCCTCAATCACGGTGCTCTCTGTACCATTCGGGTATTGATATACCAACCCCAGCCGCGACGAATGAGATACAGTGCACGTGCAGGCTCGTGGGCAATGAAGTGACTTTGGATCTCGAAAGAGGATATGAACAAGGCAATGTTCTCTCGCAACTCAGGAGCTACAGCCCCTATAGGCGTCCAGTTCTTGAGAAGCTTCTCGGAAATACTGGCTGTGCGTTCTTCGTTTACAACACCAAACATAATTGCCATGCTGTTAGCATCTTGTGGATGCAGAGAGGTATTGGTTGCGTTGTCCTTAAATGCGCCGTACGACTCGTCCCAGCAGTAAGTAGGTGTTGATTGCTTTCTTGAGATTGGCGGCCTGGGAGCTCCATCTGCTGTATAGATTGGTTGAGTCTCCAGCCTACAAAGAAAGAGATGCTCCTGTCTGTAGTGTATGGTAGTGACTAGAATGTGTTAGCTGGGAAGCCTTCTACATGATGGATTCACAACATAATTCATCTGGGCTTCCGAGTTATTATAGCCTTGCTGCCATCTCGCCCAGTCTCGGGTGCCTGTTACATTCAAAAGCCCGCTGGAGTAAGTTACCTTTCCATATATATCTCCCATGGCGTGCTTATAACTGGCCCAGTTCTCCAACAAGAAGTCGGTGTCATTGGTATGAAGCACATATTTGTAGGTGCCAATCATAGACCACATATGATATGTGTCTGAGTCCTTTTGACTTAATGGAGGTCCAGACTCATCAAATGCGCCTGTTGTCTTGTTCTGTAATCGCCGGAGCTGTCAAATGTATAAATAACCAAAGAGAAAAAATGACAGAATTCACCTGGGTGTTATACATGATCTGCAAAGCGTTCTTTACACTTTCCAAGTCTCCCAGACTCACAAACGCGGAAGGAACGGCAATTCCCTTATCACCGGGCCAAACCTCACGATCTCGCTTTGCACCATCAACAATAATCGTGTCTCCCGGCCCGAGAGTCCCATTGTTGAGCCACCCAGATGTGACACCCTTGGTAACCCGGCCAGTATCTACAGGGACCTCATTCGTTTGCAGAGTATATGCACTGCTATACCAGATACGATTCAAAAGCTTATCACTGCAGTGAAAATACCCCTGATAAGCTCGGAGGTTCGACCAAGTGGCTTAAACGCAAGTTCTAAGCTCAAATCGTCAATCTGAACACTGGCCGAATCATCTGTGATCAAGAAGACCGTCAAGTACCGGAATCCACCACGCAGGTACTCGTCTGGCATGACATATGCCCCCTTTCCGGTTGATGAAATATTTGCGTACAACGCGCCATCATGATATAGAGCGCTCGACGAGTCTGACTGCTCTCCAATCCAGTTTTTGGCTTCTGTAAACGCCAGTCCTAGAGCTCCACTGCCGGTGGAGGTGTAGTCTAGATGAACAATGCCGCCAACTTCAATACCGAAGACAAATACGATAATTGATCCGTTGCCGTGTAATGCCGCTTTGTATGGATGCGAGGAGTCTGTAACAGCGTTCGCTTTCAATTCTGATAAGGTTGAGGCTGGTCGTACTGTTCGTGATGCCGGTGCGTATATGTTCTTTTCCCATGGCCCGCTGAATGCAGTGTCTGTAGGTCCAGAGCGTGGTGTTACGCCAGCAAGTGTCAGCAACAGATATCGAGAAGAAAGACCAAAGCATCAATATCACACTGGGCCAGTATATTTGTGCCATTGGTGGTTGAGTGGAAAAAGAGATATTCGCATATAGTAGCAATATACCAAAGAAGTATAAAATATAGAAAATGGCGTAGATGGCATTGGTCAAGTTGCGCAATAATGGAATTTGGGAAGATTCGTCGCTGCGTATTGCTGCATATTCGCGATTAGTAGAAGAACCATGCCAAATGATGTTGACTTGCAGGATTTTGGCAAGGATCGGAGTAACAAGCACTCAGAAGGCTTGCAAATCGACGTTTTTACTGTATGGGCCATCTATTTTCCCCACAGTCGATTTTCTCTGCAATGTCATGTTCCGATGTCCGCTCGGTGGTCTTTACACCGAGCGCAACATGGGAAATTCAAGCAAATGCAGTGTTCTATAGCCAAGGGATATAAGATGTTGTTCTTTATTAGAAAGACAAACAGTTGAGCAGTCAAGTCCGTTATTGAGTCGACTTCGGCATTCCTTCCGTGGGCCTACCACTAGGGGTGGCTCTGTCAACTCTTGTATATGCTAATGAAGAATGCAGCTCAAATGTCTGCACTGTAAAAGCCAATGGGAATGAAAGACGATATCCCTAAAATCCTTAATATTATTCTGAGCTAAATGGATCAGATGAAGTTCTACGTCAAGAGCAAGCTTGGAAAGACAAGACAATTTATGGTTAAGCATAAATCCTAAGGAGCCCCGCAGCCCCACCTGGGCAGTTTCCTGTGTGACGTTGCCAAGATTAATTGCTTTGATCTTCTTTTGACTCATTCCCACCTCGCTGGTTGTCTATGATAATGCCAGAGGAGACAGTTCGACGTGCCTTTGAAGGCCGTGAGCGCCCAGTTCTTTCCTATGGCATTACCTTTCCCGCAGCTATAGCACGCCATCTCGATAGCACATTTGAGGCTTCCCGTGTATATGTGATCTGCTCAGGGTCATTGTCGCGAAATACCAATGTGATGGACCAACTAGAGACCGCTCTGGGGCCAGATAGACTGGTTGGCCATTGGATCGGTATGCGGAGTCACACTTTGTGGTCAGAGGTGCTGCAGATCGCCGAAGAGGTTAGGACTGTGCATGCTGATCTGCTCTTGACTGTCGGAGCTGGCAGCTTGACGGATGGTGCGAAGATTATTGCATTAGTTGGTATACCCTCTTCTTTCATACTTCCATTCATTTTTTATCTTTCAGTTTGTATTCTTCTTGTTTCTTTTTATTCTCCCCTGGTTGACCATATATCTTTATTTACTCTCAGCCTAACGTCCCCCTCAGGTCCTTGCGAACCAAGTCAGCACACCAGAAGAGCTTGAAACCCTTGCAGAAGGCCCCAGAAAGCGAATAGAGATCAAAGCACCAACTCTCCCGATCATTTCGGTACCGACATCCCTCTCCGCCGGCGAATACTCCAACTTCGCAGGCGGCACGGAAGACCACTCAAAGCGCAAATACAGTTTCCAGCCACCGATTCGTGGACCAGAGCTGGTTATTCTTGACCCGTGGCTGGCAAAAACCACTCCCGATTCAATCTGGCTCAGTACAGGTGTGCGCGCAATGGACCATTGTATCGAAAGTCTGTGTGCCATCTCAGGTACGACCACGACCTCAGACAAACTGGCTCTCAGTGCGCTGGGCTTGTTGGTCCCTGGTCTCTTGCGCTGTAAGAAGGACCGATCAGATTATGATGCGCACCTACAGTGCCAACTCGGATCAGTGGATGCTATGGCGGCATGTACTAGCGGGTCAATTGAATTGGGTGCTAGCCATGGGATTGGACATCAGGTATGCGAGTGCTTCTCTTTATTTTCTTTCTAAGGAATCTACAGTACATCAATGGGCCTGACTAACAGTTCTCTAGCTTGGTCCACTGGGCGTCGGCCACGGTGAGACTAGTTGTATCTTGCTCCCCGCTGTGTGTAAGTTCAATGCTAAGTACAACGCCAACTGCGAAAAACAAACTGGCGTGTGCGAATTTTTGATTCAAGATCCGGTCGTGTCGGAGGTGCTACGTGCCCGCTCGGTCAACATGGAAGCATCCGACTTGGGCGATATTTTGGATACTATTATTAGCGAATTGGGAATGCCTCGGTCCTTGAGCGATGTCCAAGTAGGGCGGGGCCAGTTGGATGGACTGGCGGAGAATAGCCTACATGACCGTTGGTGCAAGTCAAACCCAGTGCCATTGAAGGAGAAGTCTCAAGTATTGGAGATTCTGGGGATGGTAGTTTGACACAGTATGAGACGAGCATATGATTTAAGTCCATTACGCTTTCATAATCAGAGCATATCAATACCAATTCCCCGGATTTCAGATAATCCACCTCAGTGCAGTTTCTCGTTTGCTGAAGCTGCCTTCTCTCCAAAATCAGGATCCTCTATAGATCTAAGGAAAATTCCCAATAAAGCAGCTTCATAGCTAGCATCATACGTGTACTAGCACTATTTACATAGTGTTTACACAGCTTTTCGGTATAGACTGACCATCTAGCCGATCGCCACGAATCTGTGCCGACTTTTGTATGAGATAAATAGAACGATGTGATTGTGAGTAATTCAAAAAGCACAATCTTATTCCATCGAAATCATCTATTGATGCATCCAAAAAGACATCCAAAAATATACAAAACCTCCCAATAAGTGAGTAGATACTTCAATACATTCAATTTTTGTCCAGGTGTCTAATTTCCAATTTCCAATTAGTTTTGGAGGCCGTAACGCTCTATATATCTACGCCAGAGACATGTGGACATCCTGACCACCTGGGTACTTCCAAGCCCAAACAACATGTCCTTTATTCTACATTTCTTCTTTACACTATAATGCTGATTGAATATTGACTGTGAGATCCTCCGCAATTGATTGATAAGCAGGACCCCCACACCCCACATTTCACGATATATATAAGCTCGCGCCACCCACAGGGCTCTAGGGCTGCACTATCAACAACTTCTCCACTTCTCACAGCAAAGCTATACAACCATGTCTCTCGCCAAGAACATCCTCTTATTCGGCGCAACAGGCGCCATTGGCTCATTCATCCTAGATGCCATCCTGACCCAGCGCTCCCAATTCGGCCGAGTCGCCATCTTCACCTCCCCGCACACAGCCGAAACCAAATCCTCGCAGCTGAACAAGCTGAAAGAGCAAGGCGTAGAAGTGATTGTGGGTAACGTTGAAGATGAGAATGCCATAAATGCAGCATACGAAGGTAGGAGACCCTTCATACCGTGCCACAATGACCTTCCTCAAATCGAAACCAAAGACTAACCACCAATTCAAACAGGAATCGACACCGTGATTTCAGCCCTAGGCCGCAATGCCCTGGCCCAACAGATCCCCCTAATCAGACTCGCAGCCGCCAGCCCCACCGTGAAATGGTTCCTGCCCTCCGAGTACGGCACGGATATCAAGTACGGGCCGGCTTCGGCGAACGAGAAGCCGCACCAGCTGAAGCTGAAAGTGCGCGCATATCTCGAGGATGAAATCTCGCGCGACGACCTCGCCTATTCGTATGTAGTCACTGGCCCATTTGCGGAGATGTACCTTAATCTCGTGCCTGGGATGGAGGAGGCTGGTGGGTGGGATGTTAAAGGCCGGAGGGCAGTCTTGTTGGGTGAGAAGGGGAAAGGAGAGGTTAGTTTGACGACGATGAAAGAGTAAGATTCCTTTCCCTTGTTCTTTTTTGGTGTTTGTCGTTAGGATCGATGGACTGTTGGCTGACTACTCCGCTAGTGTTGGAACTCTCGTCCTGAACACACTGCTTCATGCTACGGCTGAGACGCGCAATGCTGCCTTGTGTGTTAATTCGTTTACGACGAGCCCCGACCAACTTCAGGCGGAATTTGAGCGACAGCTTGGTTGTCAGCCGTGGGATGTGTCTCGCACATCGCTGGCGAAGTTGCGCGAGGCGGAGGCTGCGGCGTGGGAGGCTGGGAATCCGGCGGCTACTATATTGACTTTGCGTCGTATATGGGGTGAAGGCGGGACGCTGTACTCGAAGCGGGCTAACGGGCTGATTGGGGAGCCGAAAGTCATGGGGCTGGAGGAAGTGGTTGCGAATGAAATCCAGAGGGCATCGAATTTGTAGATAGCTTGCCTTCATTTTGTTTTAACATACTACATGTAATTAGCCACATAGCAAACGCTGACATTTGATCTACATGGACATCGCGCACAATGTGGAATCCAACGTCTAAAGCTCATGGCATTCGTACGTAGGAGCTAAGAATTAAAGAAACGTGCCGGGGTTCCAGGTAACTTCAGATTTCACATGACCGAGGGGAATGATTTGGGAAATAATAAAAAAGGGGAAAGAGCTCTGCCGGATATAAAACAAAAAAGGTCTGAGCTTTATTGGAAGAACTTGCGCACTCGTTCCTGGCTAGCCGGGTCCACAGAAGCCAGAATCTGGTCTGCATTCGCGCCGGTCACTGCCACCAGCTGTTTGGCGGATGTGGCCACCCGGACAGCGGTCTGGCCCTGCAGGGTAGCCGCCTCGAGTGCCTGCACGATGAAACCGAAGACACGGTCAGCCTTAGCAAAGACAGCCGGGTTTTGCCTGGTGATAAAATATTAGCATGAGTATGAGGGTGTGAATCAAGAAAACTTACTGGTCAATCAACTGTGCAATAAAGGAATAGGCATAGGGAGCAGCCTCCTCGTCATAGGTAATGGGCAAAGTCTCGATCCAGTTGGCCACGATATCCTGGGGAGCTTGGACCTTCGATGGGTTGTAGTGCAGGATCTTGGCAATACTGGCAGATGCATTCTCGGTCGCGAACACGTTCTCCTCCGTCCGGGATTGCGCATGCTGTGTAACCTGGAACAAGCTGGGGAGGCTGGCTGCCACAAAGTCGCTCCAGGCGGCACCACCCTTTTGCGCAGCAACACCCACTCCGTACGCCGCTGCCTGACGGTTGGCGGCATTCTCATCTCGCAGACCGGAAGCCAAAGGCTGCATGATATGGTCCTTAAATGCCCACGACTCTTCGCCACAGAATTCAAGAACGTCATCCATGATGCAAAGAGCCCACTGCCGTTGTGTCGGGTCTTGGCTTGTGATAAAAGCATCGTAAAATGGAATCAATTGCTGCCATGTTGGCAGGAACGAATTGCCCTGGTTCTTAAAGATGGTGTGGAATGCCTTGTTCATATCGCTCAATAGGTTTTGATCGTCCTCCACGGCGTACTCAAGGTCCAGGTTCTCCTCGTCACCATCTTCGAGCTCGGCCTGCTCCTCCAAACGTTGCTTCACGCGCATCTGGTAGTCCTCAAGGGTCGACTTCGCCGATTCAATGAACGCTTGCAAGTGCTGGGGGGTCAGGGAGTTTCTGCCGACCACCTCTACTGACTCGTAGAAGCACTGGTACATCTCAGCCAGGGTGTCAACTGTCGGCTCAGCGCTCAGAACCTCGATGATCTTCTCTGCGACCTTGTTCCACATTTCGGCGAAGCCCGGTGACTGGCCCCCGTGTGACTTCTTGTAGGAGTTCAGCAGCTGGGGGATCAGCTTGGCAGCTGACACTCGAACGGGGTCGTGGAAGAAAAAGGCAAGACCAGGGACCGCAATCTTCTCCATGGTATCCAGGACGTAGGGCTCGAAGTTCTGCTCCAGAATCTGGGCGTAAATCGTGATCAATTCGATAGCGGTGTTCTTGTCTTCAAGAGCACTGGTTTTGATGCCGATAATCTTGCCCTTGAGCGGCACCAGCTCCCAGCCGTCATCCTGTTCAACCTGTTCGATCTGATCCTCATCATCCAGCAGCTGAATATCAGCCTTGGCAGAAGCCACGGTTAGAAGAGGCGGCATAACACCGGGGAGATAAGGCACGAAGTCTTGGCCCAAGACGCGGCACATGCGGCCCCAGCAGTGAAGGAGGTACTGGGATTGTGGGTCGTCGGCGTCGACGATGTTTTCTTGGATGTGGCCGAGAATCTGCACAAGGTTCAGGGCATCTTGACCCATCTTCTCCTTGCCAACGGCCAGTGCGATCAGAGTAGCACACTCCATGGCCTTGGCACGAAGAAGGCGGTACTCCTTACCCTGTTCCTCCTTGAGGACATTGAGCAAAAGAGGCATCAGAGTAGTGTAATACTGATCGAAAGCGGCCTCGGCGGAATCAGCAATTGTGGCAATTGTGGACAGCGCTTGCTCCTGCAGATAACGCTTAGGGCTGCGCAACAGATCCAGGAGATGGCTGAGAAGGTTTCCGAGATATGGCTCCAAGGTGCTGCGCTCGGCCTCCTCGCAGAAGTTGACGAGAGCGGCGGCAGCGTGGGACTGCACACGCGGCTCGGTAGAGGCGAGAACGGGAATGATGTTAGTGAGGACAATCTCGTGGTACTTCTCTTGCATGGTACCGGCGAAGTCGGTACTCATTTGACCAAGGGCGTTACAGCCTGCATAGCGGACTCGGGGGTGGGGGTCTTGGAGGGCAGGCACGACAAGTGCTAGGACTTGGTCCAGCTCACCGACCATCAGGTCGCGACAACCTTCAGAGATGGCGGAGATGGCCATCAAGGCAGCATGGCGGTCGCGCCAGTTGGTAGACGACATCATGCGAGGAATCCAAGAGAACGCGGGTTGGAGAATGGCTTGTCCACCCAGTTTGTTGGCGAGACGATCCATGCACTGCTCACCGGCGATGTGGTTGAGGTCGTTCTCTTCAGGCTCAAGCTGTTACTAGTCAGTGTCATGTTAATTATAGCAACGCAAATTAAACACTCACATCTTCAGACGCGTTCCATTCCTCCGCATCGTCGTCATCCGCACCGACATCAGTCATCAGACTCAGACATTGTGTGACCATTTCCTGTGCGAACTCCGGCTCCTTCTTGCACATATTCGGGGCATAATCGGCAAAGGTAGCCATCAACTCGAGTGCGTTCTGGCGCACCTGGTCACTGAGCTCCTTGTCACCAACGACACTAATGCTGAACTTAACCAAGTTGCTGAACATAACCTTGAACATTTTCGGGCTGATCTCGGCCAATTCAATCAGGGCCTGCAGGGCCGAGGATAGCTCTTCGCTCTCAGAGGACTCCTTGAGAGGAGGTAGGATGTTGAGAAGGTCTGGCATGAGGCCAAAGAATTTGGGCTGGGACTTTTTGGAGATCGACCGGAACAACGAAGCGAAGGCTTCCATAGCAGAAATCCGCACCTGTTTGAATGGTCAGAATTGAGTTCCAAGGGCATAGCCAGATGTCGACATACGGAAATATTCTCGTCCTTGAAACCCTTGGTAAAGACCTCCACGACAGCCTCTTCGTGCTGCTTCTCAATGATACCGGGGGTGGTCGTGAACACACGATATGCGGTTTCCCGCAGGCCCGAGTCAGGGCTCTGGCTTGCTTGGAAGAGGACCCCGAGGAGTTCAGGCCATTGTTCGTCTATGAATCACAGGTGAAATCGTCAGAACCAAGAGTCCTCATTTAGTCCTCATTTCGTCAAGGGTAGTTCGAATCGCATACCGTTATCGGTGTATTGCCGAGCCACCTCAGCCAGTGTGTCTCCAATCTTCTTGCGTACGTCGGTGACGGTCTCACTTGTCAGACAGACCACCAACTTCTCACGAATGGCGATTCGCTGCTCGTAGGGGAGACTCGAGAAAATCTCCTTGTTGTCACCTGAGGCGGGATCCTTTCGGGATTTTGTTGCGATTCTTCGGAAAAGCACAGCGGAGAAAGCACGCGTCTGACAGTAAGAATTTCCCATTAGCTTTTATCCTAAATCATAGCGAAATTGGGCTTTTCATTCGGTCATCGATCGTTTGCAACACCCCTCCTTCGAAGCAATCGCACCCCTGGAGTCGAGTGCAACTTACTATTGTGTCCTCTGCACCCCCAAGCTGTTCCGCCAATCCCATCAATAAGACGTCTGGTCGGTTCTGAACCCAGTCATTGTTAAGCTGGTCTTCCGCCTGTGATCTGACGGCATTGTCGGGTGTGCCCAAGGCGCTGAGCAGCTGAGAAAGCGCGGTGTGGATTTCGGGAGGTAGGAGGGACATGTTGGGCGTGTCTGTTCCCAAGTTCCAGACGATCCAAGCAACCCAGTTCTTTCAACCCTCGTAGAAGTGTTTTGGGTGGGGATAGAGGGGTGGAACGAAGGAGAGGAGTTTTGTTTTTGGTGGGGCGGGGAGAAGGAAAAAAGAAGAATTTCTGATTAGGAGAGCGATAGATGGATAGACCCTTGGAGGTAAGAAGAATGGAAGTGCCAGTCCAATACCGCCACAAGAGGAAAGGAGATTTAACAGAGAATGTCGAGGTCTTCAGATTGGATTCGTTCTCGATCAAAAATGCAAATTAACTGTACGAATAATCCAAGGACAACCTACAGAGTCCATAGTGACGATGATCGGATCAGGACGCTAAACCAGATGCGGTAATTTCAGGCCACAAGGCCAAATAAATTCGAACAGACGTAACTATGGACAACTGAAACATTGTTGATCCAGTCAAATATTTGCTCATTTTGTAGGTGAACATGGTAATGAATATATGAAAGCGTCAGATCAAAGTCTATCTCGAACAATTATTTGCATTGAAGGCTAAACTGAGGCCGCAACTGCTCAGCCACACGGAATACCGATATTAGAAAAGGACGGGTATGCAACACTCCGGACAGGAAAAGAATCTACTACGCTACTCTCAGGGTGCTTGATATCCAAGTTGAATGAGACAAAGGCAAGTATTTGGAGAGAAAAAAAGGGTTTCGGGAATAGACCAAAGGCGAAGCTTTTTACCGGCCACTGGGGCGGCTGAGAATGAAAACACCCGCAATAACTGCAGCCAATGTGACAATAGCACCGGGAAGCAGCAAGTCATTGGGGACGCCGGCAATCAATTGCTCCTCTGGCGCGTGCGAGGGCACGGCTTGCTGCTGGGACAGGGCCTTGTTCACGGGGGATTCTTGTGAGGCAGGTTCCTCAACAACGCTTTGCTCTTCAACAGGAGTCACAATCTTAACATGCTGGGGCTCAACCGGAGCAGGCATGGGTGGCTGGGCTGGATCGTGGACAAACAAATTAACCTTGTCACGGTGAGTACGGCGGGCCAGTTCGATGGCATCCGTCATATCCTGATCCGTGGTGATGGAGACGGTGTCACCCTCGTTATCCATGTAGCTGAGGGCATACCCAGTGTTGCTCAGCCGACCTTCTTCAACGGTAGCCTCGCCACCAACAGCCTCGACTTCCTTGCCAAGTTTCGCGGTAACTTGCGACACAAGGTCGGTAACGCCGTTGGTGGTAAGGACGTTGACACGGTGCACTCGACCACCAGGGGCCTTGAACTTGAAGGGGAATGGAGTAGGAGCAGCTGGTTCTGGTGGGTGGTGCTGAGAAATAACCTCAGAATGCTCATCACCGTGGTGCGATGCTGAGTCATTGGGAAGAAGACTGTTGTCGTAGCCTGAGCGAGTGAGATCGGGGCTCATAACTGAGCGGTGTGGAGTATTCGGTTGCTGGCTGTGGCCGCCAGAGACCATAGAGTCTGACTCGTGATCCATCGATAACCAAAATTTGTTCCATGCGGGGCCCTCGTCATCTTGGGTTGACATAGTGTTGATCTGAATACATTAGTTAGAGTGTTTGCACGTTAGGTCTGTTACTATCAAACATACCTGTTCAAGAGTGGCATAGGTAAGCTTCAACACATCCACCATGCCGACGATTTCACCACCCTCGTTCATCACGGGCAGGTTGAGATAGTGGCCATCTGTAGTATAGTTAGCATGTTTTGGTTAATTGCGGACTTTGAAATGACTGACCATGCATCTTGCGAAGCGCAGCTTGAATGCTCATATCCGACGGGGCGAAATCGGGGTGAGGAGTCATGACACGAACAACGCTGCAAGTAGAAGGGTCGAGGCCAGGAGCAATAACGCGAAGAACAATATCCTTGCTGGTGAAGATACCAGTGATTGAGCCTTGGTCCTGGACTAGCAGAGCAGTAGTGTGGTTTTCCTTCATCAGAGCCGCAGCATCCTTAACGGTGGTGCGGACCGAGACAGTGACCGGCGGCAAGCCATCCAAGACAGTCTCGAGGGTAGGGCCAGACATCTTCGATCGCAAGGCCTCCACATATTGGATGACTTGCTGGGGCTGACTAGAGCCAAGCTCTGTTTGCACACCTTCCAGCGCATCGTACAATTTTCGAGACGAACTGTATGCACGCTCCAACTTTTCCATAGCATCATAGAAGCACTTAGTAATATCCAAAACACCAGAGATATCCTGGTTCTCATCCATGACCGGCAAATGTCTGAATCCCTTCCGCACCATAAGATCAAGCGCGTCAGTAGCGCTGGTGTCCGTTCTCGCGCACAGCGGGTTCTTTGTCATGATCTCAGCGACGGAGACCTCTCGCGCCTTCAAGCCCAGTCCGACGACTCGGAAGGCCAGATCCTTGGCAGTGAAAATACCCGCGATGCGCTCATTATCGTCGGTGACCAACACACAGTCCTCTCTCTTGGCGGCCATAAGCTGAGCGGCCTCTGCGATGCTCATGGCGGGCTTGATCTGGAGGGCCTGGCTGGGCTTCAGGGCAAGCACGGTGCCGGGAGGGGCTTTGCGGGAGTTCCTCGATTTTGCCGGAGCGTTCCTCTTTTTGCTGAGGTCGGCCTCCATTTTGCGGCGGATAGCCTTGTGTCGAGGTTAGCTAAAAGCGAAGGCTCAAATCGAGCGTCAGGAGATCACTCCCGCGGGCTGCCATGACGTACCTCATCACGTTTCGACTGGTTCTGTCGCTGTCTGCTACTTGCGGCGCTCATTGTGCCACTTCCGACGTCGCTGGAGGGTGTGTTATTTGTAGCAGAAGATTCTGGCCTGGGTCGGGGGATGTGGGAAGCGCTGGTGTCGTTTCCGAAGTCGGGCAGCCTTCCTCTCCCGATGGTCTGATTGGGTTTTCCCCGAAAAGTACCTGTGGCCGACATAATAATGCCGAAAGGGGAAAGTCTCAATAAAAATGGAGAGAAAGGAAGGGAGGTGACACAAACAAAACAAGGATGTCAAGTTGTGAGACTGGTTTTGGAGAAAAAGCAAGGAGGATTCCTGGGAAGGAGAAGAATAATGGGCAGTTCAATAGTCGATCCCAAACAGGGGTGTTTCTTCGTTAGTCGGGGATGAGGAGCCATAAACACTGAGTGACACGGTACGATCCGGGCGCTAGGCCCAATTAGGCGGATCTACTCCTCGTGACTCTTTACACGTGATCCACGTGATTCCCAAGGTATTATCGCCTTAGATTTGAGGCACCAAACCCGTGACTTATCTCGCTTAAGGGCTTAGGGCTACCCGCACAACGGAATCCAATCCATCCCGAAAGAGACTTTGTGTGAGCGAGCTTCGACAACCCACTCCCGACAAGTCAACTGTACGCTATCTCCCCCCTTTCACCCACAGGCCAATACCTGACCATCCACAGAACAAACCGTCAAAATGGTCAAGAAGAGGGCGAACAAGTAAGACCAACAAATCCCCCATCTCGGCGAAGCAGTATCCCATTCGACATCTCCGCAATGACGCCGACGGAAGCGCACACGGCATACATCTCCTAATACATCGAAAATCGCAACCTACGCACATTGCCGGACAAGAATGGGAGACTGGATTTCGATCGATTTGCAACTTCAGGGGCACGGTAACTAATTGATTTGATAGCGGCCGCAACAAGAATGGCCGCGGCCACGTCAAGCCTGTGCGTTGCTCCAACTGCGCTCGCTGCGTCCCCAAGGACAAGGCCATCAAGCGCTTCACCATCCGCAACATGGTCGAGTCCGCCGCCATCCGTACGTTACTACTCTCCCGATACCTCGAATCCACGACAAGATCCCAGATCTATGGCTGCGACCCATTGGAGGACTTTGAGACGGACCAGTGCAACTAACAATTCCCGCTTTGCAGGTGATATCTCCGAGGCTTCCGTCTTCGCCGAGTACTCTGTCCCCAAGATGTACTTGAAGCTCCAGTACTGTGTGTCCTGCGCCATTCACGGCAAGATTGTCCGGTACGTTTCCACCGATTCTCGATACTTAAGCGCCGTCCATGTACTAATTTCTCGTCAACAGTGTTCGCTCCCGCGAAGGCCGCCGCAACCGTGCTCCCCCTCCCCGTATTCGCTTCAACAAGGACGGCAAGAAGCTCCAGCCCCCTACTGCCGCCAAGGCTCTGTAAGGAGATGAATTGCATGACGAACAAAATAAAATGGAACTAGTTTGAAATGAATTCTTTTATTTTGTCTTCACTCTTCGCATTGTGTTCTTCTCGACCGGATCGCAGGGGTGATGCTCGGTCCCGAAACTGCCGGCCTGCTCCTACACTGAGGATGAAAAAGACGGCAACAATTGTGCGATGAAGGCAGGTTGGTCGTCTCTAGCATTGTGCCGTTTATGAGCCCGTTGACGACGGCTTGTTATGACTGGGAGGAAGGATGGTTCAAGTCCAAATAAGGACAGAAAATATCAAAAAATTCCTACAAAACGTGCTCGCATGACGTACAAGTATCTTAAGTAGTATGCTGAGTATCTTGCTAAGTATAAAATTCACGGGTATAAGTACCCCTTCTCGAAATAGTTTCCATACATGTCTACCGTTCCGGTCCGCACCTTTGGCATCGGGTTCCGCACGACCTTCACCTCTCCCTTCCAATGGCCTTCGACATAATGCGATAAAAAAATATGGGGCGATGATGGTATAAGTAGGCCGGAAGGACCCGTGCCCAGCGTGCTTCGCCGTTCTCTCTCACGACGAACCACTTGCTCATACTCAGCCTTCTTGCCGCGACGAAAAGCCGCAAGCTCTGCCACAAGGTCAATCATTGGGGCCTGGTACTGCTGCTTTCTATCTTCAGCACTCCTTGGTGGACCTGGGTTCTTGGCACTTTGTGGAAGGTGATGCCCTAGTCGAGGAGAATCGGGAGAATGCAACGAGTCATCCTCCGAGGGCATAAGCGAGACCTTTTCGTTAAGCACAGCCATTGGAAAGTATTTGCCAGGATCATTTTCAGGGACTCCACACTCTTCTTCGCCGAAGAAGCTGAAATCATTGGCGGCTGCAGACCAAAGATTCTCCGAGTCGCGATCACCCGTGCTTGAATGGCCTGTGGCATTATATTGGTTTGCGGGTTTCCATGATGTCAGTTTGGAGGTATCGACAGGTGTGATTTCGAGAACTAGACGTCGCAAGCCAAAGAGAGATCGTGACCGCTGCTGCTCGGCTTGCATGCGCGCTTGCCCTGGTGGGAGGGAGTAGTCTGATCCTGCTTGGAGAGTTGCTAGCAATGCTTCGTTTGAGCAAGCAGTAATGAACCGAGTGAGCGCAGATAGTATCGATGAGTTGGGCATTACATGCGAGGGTACATCTGTCAGTACCAAAGATTCCATGTGAGGAATATGTGATGGATGTAGATAAGGGAGCCAGCTTTCTTTCCCTCCTCGGAGTGGGATTGATTGGCTACGTGGTCGCTTTGACAATAACTCCTGTACTTTTTGTGCAAGAGAACCGTTCATTGAGATTGGGGAGCTGCATTGCAAGGTTGTCTGGAGCGAGGAATCCGTCGCCAGCGTGTCGCAGTCTGAAGACATTGAAATGGATGGCTCCGTATCCCAAGTGCCTGTCCTAGAAACACCAAAGGCCGTATCTCCATTGGCGCTACTGTGCACAGGAATGGACTGTACAACCTCCGGAGCGAAAGCCGACCCACGCCTGACCGACGGTGCGGGCTCATCTTCTTGGGCTGTCAATATCTGGGAAGTCTTTAGCCCTTTTGTCGCTGAAGATGAGCTAATTGAGTCGGTCGTTGATGTATCCGCAAGTTCAAAGACAGGTCTTGTCTCTTCGGGCAATTCATAGACCTGCTGGGAGGCATCCAGCTCGAATTGCTCGACTTCGCGGGGGCTCTCTTGTGCTGGAAGCTCTGGAAGAAACTCATCATCGGATGCAGCGTCTTTAGTATGGTGTTGGCCTGTGATAGTAGCATGATGCGCTCGTAAATAGGTCAACTTGTCCCCTGCGATCTTACCGAGCACTGGGACTAGCTTCTCGGCTCCGGGGTATTTCTCCTTCCCATAATGATGTGTGTGATGTGCCTTATCTGGGGGTTTTATGGTTCCGAAATCCAGAGCGTGTAGCCGGGACGAGCGAAAAAGACTCGCCACAGCTTCCAGAGATATTCGATTGCCAGTAATATAAAGATGCGTGATTCCCGTATGCGGCAAGTCTTCAACCCATGGATGGAATAAAACAGGCTGGGCAAGAAGCTTCGCAATCTGCTCATCCAAGTCCGGCCGTTTGAAAAAATCCGAGCCACACTCATTAATTGCAAAGTGTGAGAAGGGGTCTGGCGAAGCCGTGACCTGTCTTGGACTTTGCTGCCTTCCCATCTCTCTTGGCGGGAGAAAGGATTCCTGTAACAGGGAGCGAATTGCCATGTCGGTGAGCATGTTGTCTCTCAAATCCAAACAACGGACTCGTCGTCCAATCGCATTGGCTAGAAGTTCGGCGTCATTGTCCTTTAGCCCGATGCCACGCAATTTAAGTACCCGGAGAAACGGCATTTGAGCTAGCGTAGACAATACATTGCGGTCTCGTGCTGGAGTGGTGTACGAAAGATCCAAGTAGGTCAATGCCGGAAACAAGAGGAGAGTCTGTGCGAGGCTTGCGGAAGTAGTATTCGGCTCACGTTCGGCCAACAAGAGCCGTATATTATACTGACTGGACCTCTCGTGGGTTTTCAATGCTGTCATGGCATGGTGGTCAAAGAAAGGCAATTTCGAGACCATCAGACACTGAAGACATGGCAGGCATTCGAGAATGTCCCTCAACCAGCCCGGTCGCGGACCACCATATATCTCCGAGAGAGCCGGTGGGAGATGGATGGTATGGGTCAACGCCCGCACCTCTTGTCGGGCGTACTTGAGCGTTCTTCGGAATCGAGTGAGAGCCACTGTGTGATCCGGTTAGGTATTGCTTTTTAAGCAATCACTGTTGTTCCTAAAGTTACTTACCATAAACTGCATCGTTGTCTGTACCAAAATGAGACGCAGGATCACCCCAGAGGAAGGGCATAAATAGATCGTGCCATCTGTGGCAGACTAAAGATGCAGCACATAGGTCGCTGGAAGGGATATAGCGAGCAATAATTGTCCAAGCATCTCTGTCCGTTGCAGATTCGTAAGACGGAGGGATAAGATCCATGTTTACTATGCTTTCGGATTCTCGATCAAAGACATTGTGGATTTCACGGGAGATGGTAGAAATCGCATGGGGGAGTTTGGCCCCATGAGTTAGTTGCCCGACTCAGCCACAAAGTTCTACTGCATCCCTTTGGGATAGACCGTGGATCTAAAAATTCCGACTCTTCTTACTTTATACTATTCCTCTTATTTTCGTACTTTTGTGCAGGTTGTTATCTGTGAAAGTCATGGCAATTTAATTCCAAGACCACCAAATATGACGTCACTAAATAATGGAACTATATGAACAGGCGGGGAATAGCTAAAAGGGGGCTATTCAAAAAACACCCATTGCGCCATTTCCACCCAGGGCTGGAAAGCCCAATTGCCTATAGAAAGCTACTTGGAATACTGGGTCTTGTGACAAACCAGATGTAGCGCATACACCCTGCTCAACAAGTTCGATCTTGCGCAGCCTGGCTTGAAGCACCGCGCACGTATCAGCCCAGGCACAAACATTGCCCGCAAGACCTTCGAATAAACTGTAGGGCTCATCAGGCATGCGATAATCTTTGTCGGAGGATGCGGGCGAAGTGTTGTATGGCTTAGTCTCACGTGCATGCAACATGAACGCAAGAGCCCTCGAGAGGAAGAAGTCACCAGTGAGCTCCTGGCTCGTCTCAGCATTTGGAAGGGTTGATAGTTGATAACGTTGGAGATAAGCTGTCCGGGCATCGTTCAGAGTATCCGAGTGGTATTCAAAACAATCATGGAGGTGGAGCCACGCCCATGCATTGCCAGTGACGCCGTGACACAAACTGCCTCCCTTAGAAAGCAGACCTTCTTCCCATACACGCCGAGTGCCCAAGTATATCGCTTGGTCCCAACTTGGATCCCAGTGGGCGCGGGTTAAGGATTCGTTTTTCAAAGCAGCTCCTATGAGGATCAACAGTCCTGGGCTGCCGTGACACAGTTGGACTAGTTCTGAGGAGCGCTTCCCGAAACTATATGGAGGTAGTGTCATTGGGAGGTGGCCATTGGTAGCCCCAGATAGCTTGCAGAGTGCAGTGACAGTACCACCAATCACAGGAAGGTAGTCCGTAAGCTCTTCGGGCTTGCATGAGAGGAGGATGGTTAGAATACCGGCTAAATCACATATTGACATTAGTTCTTGTAAAGCCCAAATAATCAACTGCAAACTTACTTATTCCGTGGACCCTATAGATCGTCTGTTAGCGACCTTACACAATATAATATGGTTAGAGATGTACATACGCCCCAAAACAGTAATGGCCCTCCATCCATGCATACATCAATGGATGCGCGTCTTGGGCTCCGTTCTTCTCGATGTATTCCTTGGATCCCTGTCGCCCGGCATCGACGATAACTCGGATCAACTCAGGAATTGCCTCCAGCACAGGCGAGAGGAGTTCCTGGGTCTCCTGATCGAAATGATGAGCACGAACGTTCAAAAGGACCCAAAGAAGTCCTGCTCGGCCAAACAACATCTCATCTCCACCCATTTTTCGGCCATCATAGGCAACAAGAGGCTCGTTCTTTAGGGCCCACTGCATGGCCTCGTGAAGGCAAATGACATCCTCCCTCGCGATGCTGATATTGGCGCTATTGTGCCAATCATTCTTTGCAAGAGTACCTAAGATGCGCAGAGTAACAGCAGTGACAGGCGAAGATGAGCCAACTGGAGATAATCGAGAGGCTAACAGAGGGGTGTCCGGGAGGCTTGATGGAATCCGTTGTAGTGCGTAACGACGATAGTCAACAGAAGCAGCTTTGGGGTCCTCTAGCACTGAGGACTGGTAATCTAGACGTAGGAACGCCAGAGCAATGCCTTTATTGGGTGATTAGATGGTCATGGTTTTGAGATGTGGGACTGGAGCTTGAAATACCGGGGAAAGCTCTAAATATTCCATTTGGGCCCCATTTTTCAGGCAAAAGAGTGTTCCCATGTATCAACTCGGCGCCATTGCGAACAGCAGCACGAAGCTCTTGGAGGCTCTCGAAAAGAGTGGTCGTATTGATTGATGGTGGGGTCAAAGTATTCTCGAAGTATTGCGGACGGTCTGCCATGGTGGAGGCTCTATATAGTTATAGGCTGAATATGCTAAGATATGGCGTGATATGCAAAAAGGAAGCTCAGTTATGCAGGTTTGAGAACTTTTGCTGTTGTGACTGGGGCGACCGCTTCCTGCGTTCAACCGACGCCTCAGCTGGCCCCAAATAAATCCCAGCATCTTCCCCACCAAGCTATGCAGCACAACTTGAGACCAAATACCCCGTACAACATATTGATTGTTCCACTGGATCCACCGGCACTCAGCGACACCAAAAACCGCCAACAATAACAAAACATGCATACGATACATATATCAAGCCTGATAGACCAGACACATACATTACCCTGTGGGATATTTTTTTAAAAACTACCCATTTTCTATCATCTTCAGACCACAATACGTTCAAAATATTATTGAAAGGAAGATATTAAGAATTTCTGGCCTAAAATATCATATTTGGTCACAATTGGACTTATTAGTGTATCAACACTCAAAGTTCAAACTCTTTCCCATACCATGACAACTGGAGGGCGGCCCTCTGGCCTTGTTGTACGCCAACTACCCCACCAGATCGTCCACCCTCACTACGCACCCCATACCAAGCCATCGTGGTTCCGCACCCCGCTCATTTGGACAAGGCGCTACATCGGAATTGGCAGATCGATCGCTTCAGGAGCTAGATCACGAGGCCGACCTGAAAACCACTGACGATCAATTCTATTCGAGAAGATATGACACGGTGCGCAATTTGCCCCGACAGGTCGAAGAGCACGAGCAAGTACACAATGAAGACGAGCTTCTAGGACGAGACCCTATGTGGGGCTTCTATGTTTTCGTGACTGACTATATTGTACCTCCCTCCACCCTATGGAATGTTATTGAAACTACTTGTGTCATTACTAGTAACTCACAACTCCGGGATTTCCTTACCAGCTATGTTACCTCCTCAGGGGGTCTATACCTATAGTAGCACTTGATCGTCTCTTTAAATAGTAGCTTCATTGTAACTTAACTAACTAGATCTCAAACCTGAGGGATCTGGCATAAAATAGTGATGAGAAACTAGCTTACCTAAGCGTAAAACTATGGATGAGTCATCAAGGACCACGACTTCTCAACTTGCGTTGCGGCCATTCCGGACTCGAGAATACTCACGCGGTCCTCGAAGTGCGAGTGAGGGCTTCCTTCTAGAAGCAATCCAGAATGTCAGTGAACAGACCCCCTGTTGAATCCAGTTCCTTGTAGCCTTTGCTTTTGTTGTTATTCCTGTATTCACCTATGAGGTTTTGTGGTGCAAAGATACTCTGGAATAGAATGTATCCAACTAACATGTCCAATAGTCGTGTGATTGGCAACCCCCAGAGGGCCTCTTTACCATGTCTGAAGTTCATGGAGATTCAGAGCTCGTTCCATCGGGCCCTGATCTAGATTATCCGCTTGCTCTGGCTCCGAGACAAGTAACTTTGAGAGATCGGGTGACGGTTGCGACCCTGGTCCCTTTTGCATCAGCAGAGGAAGTACCTCGAGCCCTGATGAAGTATCTCTCTGATCAATTCAACAAAGAAATCGAAAAGGGAGATACATATGCTATGACAGAGCCCATTCCACTGGCTCAGTTCGGGCGATATTGGTTTTCGAACTTTGGTGTGGTCATGCTTACTGGCGACATCGAGAGTGCAGAGCAGACACATACGATGGACCGTGCTGGAGCCAACTGGACCAAGATCTGTCTAGGTGGCTTTCACATTCGGCCTAATTACCCTGGTCGGAGTAGTCATGTCTGCAATGGCACGTTCATTGTCACCGATGCTGCTCGAAACAAGGGCGTGGGTAGATTGATGGGCGAATCTTATCTGGAGTGGGCACCTCGATTAGTGAGTTATTGCCGCAATCACTCCAAACGAGCTCTGAACTAACGTCTGTTAGGGATATACATATGCAGTCTTCAATTTGGTATATGAGTCCAACGTTGCATCATGTCGCCTGTGGGATTCCCTTGGCTTCAAACGGATTGGCCGAGTCCCCGGTGGAGGCAGTATCAAATCCCAACCCGGAGAGTTTGTCGATGCAATTATCTACGGCAGAGGCCTCAGTTTGGATGGCGAGGACTCTGTGTCCCAGGATCGCTTTGAGAAGATCCGTTATTATTTGAAGCACGGGAAGTACCCCCGTGGTGCTGATCGCGCCGAGAAGAGTCGACTTCGCAGCGCGGCGACTCATTATAAACTTCTTGGCGGAGAGGATGGGGAGCCCGAAAGGCTAATGCTGAAGGATAAAGAGGTGGTGTCGGATCCGCAGCAGCAGTACGATATCGCCCAAGAAGTTCATCTCAAGCAACATGCCGGAATCAACAAAACTACAGCAGCTATTGCGATCAAATACCATTGGGTACGAATCAAAGAGACTGTGAATCGCGTGATTCGTGACTGCCCAAAATGCAAAGAGACTCTCAAGGCGCCCCCAATACCAGGGACTAAAGATGATGATAAATCGCCCTCGGAAACAACTGGCATGGATATGAATGGCACAATGGAGCAACCCCCGAAGGAACCGGCCAATGACCCGCAGGCAATGGACGAAGCGCCCGATGAGCCGCCCAGTTACAACCCTCTTATGCACCAACCCATTCCTGCAGCCATGCCCGGCACAGTCCATCCCATGGCTGGGTTTGCACCCATGCCTCTCGATCCTCAGATCATGCAATTACACCAACAGCTACGACGCTACCAACAACAGAACCCCATGGCGGGCCACTTCGCCCCAGGGCCGCACAATCTCGGCATGTCAAGCTTTGACGATGCAATGCGCTACCATACAGCCAGCAATGCCTATCAAATGATGGTAGATGACGGCTCGGATCCCTTTCGACAAGACGTGCTTGGACTTGTGAACCCACCCCCGCACGAGTTACAGCATGATGCTGAGCTACTCGCTAAGTTCGAGTATGGAAGTCCCTCAGACGGGAATTATGACTTTACGTGAACAAGCCTCTTATCTCGGTTTCTCATTTCGGGGGCGTTACTTTATTTCGGATCTATTTTGTCTTAACTTTCCTTTTCTTACTTTTCTCTTGTTCTATTGGCGTCGACGCATCGGTCTGCTGATACTCCACCACTATTGTGCCGTGAACAGTGAAACACGTTTTATGCTACTTACACTATGCTTCTTTTTAGGTACATTATTCGAATAAGATGCCTCAATATATCATAGGAACTCTAGATTCAATGTAAATTGTGTACATCTCTTTAAATGCGTACATATATAGGGTTGAGGAGCCCTGATTATTGATTGGTCACCGCCTTGCGCGACTGGGGTGATTTTGGGGAACAGGAGCTCTGGGAAATTTTGGCAGATCAACCCCTCCGACCTTTCGACTCAACATAACCCCCTTTCCTTATTTCTTTTTTTTTATTTATTGAACTCTTTCGTGTCCGAAATATCGATCCAATCATGGCCTTCAACGGCCAAACCCCCACGATTGTCGTGTTGAAGGAGGGTATGTGTTGTCTCCAGTGCGAGCAGTTTTGTTGGTGGGATTCTGTAACCTATGCTAACTACTGATGCTTTGCAATCCACAGGCACCGATGCTTCTCAGGGAAAGGGTCAGATTATCTCCAACATCAACGCCTGTGTCGCAGTGCAAGGAACAGTCAAGAGCACTCTCGGTCCTTACGGTGGTGATCTCCTGCTTGTGGATGCCAACGGAAGACAGACCATTACAAATGATGGAGCCACAGTGATGAAGGTGCGTCTTGCTATTGATGCAAATCTATGGCCGGAGGGAGTGGGTGATTCTGACTTTCGTGTATTTGGTAGCTTTTGGATATTGTGCACCCCGCCGCCCGCATTCTCACGGATATCGCTCGGTCCCAAGATGCCGAAGTCGGCGACGGAACAACCTCCGTGGTTGTCCTTGCTGGTGAGATTCTGAAGGAGGTTCGAGGCCTCGTTGAGCAGGGTGTCAGCTCGCAGACCATCATCAAGGGTCTGCGGAGGGCGAGCGCCATGGCAGTCAACAAGGTTAAGGAGATTGCAGTGGACATGATGGATGCTTCAGTCAGCCAGGAGAAGAAGGTCGAGACACTAAGACGGTTAGCCGCAACAGCCATGAACAGCAAGCTTATCAAGCGGAATTCGGACTTCTTCACAAAGAGTGAGGACCCCTACCCAGTGGTTGCAATTTTGCTCCCAAGGCTGACGAGATGGTGTCATAGTGGTCGTGGATGCGGTACTTTCGCTGGACCAGGGTGACCTCAACGAGAGGTTGATTGGTGTCAAAAAGGTTACCGGTGGTGGTCTCCAGGATTCGCTTTTCGTCGACGGTGTCGCCTTCAAGAAGACTTTCTCCTACGCCGGTTTCGAGCAGCAGCCCAAATACTTCGAGAACCCTAGTATCGTGTGCTTGAACGTCGAGCTGGAGCTTAAGAGTGAGAAGGACAATGCGGAAGTCCGCGTCGAGCAGGTCTCGGAATACCAGGCCATCGTCGATGCTGAGTGGCAGATCATCTTCAACAAGCTTGAGGCTATCTACAAGACTGGAGCGAAGGTCGTGCTTAGCAAGCTGCCTATTGGCGATCTTGCCACACAGTACGTGCTTCCCATTTACTATAAGTTATGTGTTTAGACACTAATGGTTTGATCTTCAGGTACTTCGCGGACCGAGACATCTTCTGCGCTGGCCGTGTGGCCTCCGACGACATGGACCGTGTTTGCCAGGCTACCGGAGCCGCAACCCAATCGACTTGCACTGACATCCAGGAGCGCCACCTGGGTACCTGCGGCGCATTCGAGGAGCGCCAGATTGGTGGAGAGCGTTTCAACCTGTTCTCCGACTGCCCTCGCGCTAAGACTTGCACTCTCGTGCTGCGTGGTGGTGCTGAGCAATTCATTGCGGAGGTTGAGCGTAGTCTGCACGATGCTATCATGATTGTCAAGCGTGCTCTGCGCAACACAACCATCGTTGCTGGCGGTGGTGCTACTGAAATGGAGTTGTCGAGCTACATGCACGGGTTTGCCGACCGTAACGTCCCGCACAAGCAGCAGGCCGTCGTCAAGGCATTCGCCAAGGCCCTGGAGGTTATTCCCCGCCAGTTATGTGATAACGCTGGCTTCGACGCCACAGATATCCTGAACCGCTTGCGTGTGGAGCACCGCAAGGGTAACACCTGGGCTGGTGTCGACTTTGACAAGGAAGGCGTCCGTGACAACATGGTTGCCTTTGTTTGGGAGCCCAGCCTGGTCAAGGTCAATGCTATTCAGGCCGCAGTGGAAGCCTCTTGCTTGATCCTGAGTGTGGACGAAACGATAAGTAAGTGACTGTTAACTACTTTTCCTTTTCATCCTCCTCATCATGACTAACCAATCCACAGAGAATGAGGAGTCGGCTCAACCCGGTCAACAGCGCGGTATGCCGCCAGGTGCTGCCCAACGCGCCCTCCGGGGCCGTGGCCGCGGCATGCCTCGACGAGGATAAACGAGTTTAATCAGGACTGGATGAATGCTCGATGATATTCCCCCCCAAAAAGAAGGGCACCTGCACGATTCAAGGCCACGAAGTGGCTTCAAAGCCGGTGCCTGTGAGATGAATATTGAATATGAAGTACAGGGAGAATAGAAGACGAGTTGCTAGAGATAACCCGACTTAACAACGCAGTCTCTCCAAGTACATACAAAATAAACATAGTCATGAAAATATTCCTCGAAAATTGATTAATTACATGCAGGTGAGATATCATATGCACTTTCAAGGCCGAGCCTATCCGAGCACATGTATCCTGCAATGGAGTCTTGACGGGTATACACACGGAGTACTCCGTACTAGTTACCTAGGCATTTGCTTTTGGCTTATATTATTTGGAATCAATGTCTATTTATGTAGCTCCGTTCTAGACATTTAACCAATTTTACGTCTCATTGGCCCGTATCTGACGCCAAGACAGTGCTATTGAATCTCTTCGAGCTGTATGACGTGCAGAAGGGCGATCTACTTCGTACAACATATATCGTGTATGATTTATGTCCTTTATTGCTCCATGCCATGTACAAGATTATGTATATAAAAGTAGAGATCTTCAAGTATAATTTGAGGCCCAATGGCGGAGGGGTTCTTGGGCTGCCAGGGGTTGATCGGGGCTGCCGATGAACCCATGTCAGATATAAAAGTCAAGTCCAGATTATACAGATTATATGTACTTTGGCTTTTCGCTGTTTTCGCTGGCTTTGCTATCTTTCTCCTTTTTCTTTTCTGTTTCCCCTCTTCTTTTTATTTCTACTTTTTAGTTGTCGGGTTGCTAATCCAACACAGCCTTATAAGGAAATAGTGGCCGCGAACCTCTTTGTAAGTGGCGAGTTTCTAGTCTGACGATCTCCAAATATCTCTTAATTTCTTTTAATCCCCCGAATCATCCGAACTCTTTGATTTTATCTTATTTTTTGGACATCTTGCTTTCCAAAAATTTCCCTTGTCGCACTCTTCAAGGCTTGGCAGCTGCCGGACTTCCGATCTGTTTTGCCTTGAATCTCCCCTTCTCCACATTCAACATCGCGTTCTGTCCTCTACATCTTTACAGTTCGCTTGATTCACTGGGTGGACTTGGAGAATTTCTCTGATGTCTTACTATCCACCCTACTCGGGCGCCCCGGGGTACCCCCCGCAGCAGCCGTCATATCCCCCGCAACAGCAGTACCCGTACGCTTGCTTATCCCTTTGCCCTATTGAGAAGATACCGATAGTCTGACAAAGATTCGATTCCAGACAAATGAATCACCACCAGCAGCCGTCTTATGGCGGCTATCCCGGCCAGTCCTACCACCAGCAGCCGCACCAGCAGCCGCCGCAGCAATCCAACCCGTACGGTTACAGCCATTCGTCCCAGCCATCTCACCAGTCTTACGGCGCGCATCCTCCTCAGCAAGGTTACAATGTATGTCATGATGAAATTTGCGTCGAATATACACGGGATTGACACGTATCAATCCTTTCCAGGCTCCGCCATCTGGGTACAACCAGCACTCGCCCTCTGGGCCACCAATGCAAGGAAGACCAGGTCTGCCTACCATTCCCCAACGAACCACATCGTCAGGAGCGAAATCTAATAATGCGCAAATTTAGCCTACGGCCAAAGCGGCGTTCCGGCTCCCCCTCCCAGCAACCCCGTCGCCTTCGGTCACGGCGCTCCCCAAGGCTATAGCTTCCAATACTCCCGCTGTACGGGCAAGAGAAAGGCGTTGTTGATCGGTATCAATTACTTCGGTCAGAAAGGTCAGCTGCGCGGATGTATCAACGATGTCAAGAACATGTCGACCTACTTGAACCAAAACTTCGGCTACGCTCGCGAGGACATGGTGCTCTTGACTGATGACCAGCAAAATCCGATGAGCCAGCCGACCAAGGCAAACATTCTTCGGGCTATGCACTGGCTAGTCAAGGATGCGCGCCCCAATGACTCTTTGTTCTTCCATTACTCCGGTGAGTAATCATGCCCCAGTCGCTTCGATGCCTGTAAACTAATTAGAATTCAGGCCACGGCGGTCAGACACCCGACTTAGATGGCGACGAAGATGATGGGTATGATGAGGTTATCTACCCGGTGGACTTCCGGGTTGCAGGCCACATCGTTGACGATGAGATGCACCGTATCATGGTGCGGACTCTCCAACCGGGAGTCCGGCTTACAGCGATCTTCGACTCCTGCCACTCTGGCTCCGCTCTGGATCTCCCTTACATCTACTCCACCTCCGGTGTGCTCAAGGAGCCCAACCTGGCCAAGGAGGCTGGCCAAGGCCTGCTTGGTGTGGTGTCGGCATACGCGCGTGGTGACATGGGCAGCATGATGTCAACCGCCATGGGCTTCATAAAGAAGGCCACCAAGGGTGACGAAGTGTATGAACGCAACAAGCAGACTAAGACTAGCCCCGCGGATGTCATCATGTGGTCTGGCAGCAAGGACGACCAGACCAGTCAGGATGCCCAGATTGCCGGCCAGGCCACTGGTGCCATGTCCTGGGCTTTCATCGCCGCGCTTCGGAAGAACCCTCAACAGAGTTATGTCCAGCTTCTGAACAGCATTCGTGACGAGCTTTCGACCAAATATTCCCAGAAGCCACAGCTGAGCTGCAGCCACCCCTTAGGTAAGATTCTCAGATTACTTGGCCGCAATCAAATTCTGACCACCTACAGATACCGACATCCTTTATGTGATGTAATTGCACTTGGAAAAGAAGACAAGGACTGATGGTTGTCTGGCTTTCAATGAAGCATGCTCTTGTGTTTAATGAATTGCCCTGTATGTAATTCCACCCTCGATGTTCCAGTGAATATTTGGCGTGTGGGTGGTTGGTGTCACTATTTGTGATTAATCCTTATGAACCTGTGATTTATCACTATTTATTCTTGAAAATCAAGCGCATGTTACCTAAGGGATTCTCTTTCCTCATTGGCTTTCGCGTCCCCGTTTTAGTGTTAACCCTCGCCACTTCTTCCCTAATGAGTAGAATATGCACCAGCACTACTGCCGAGGCTACATAGCTTAAACGGAACAAGGGTTGGCTTAAAGGCCCTGAGAACGCGCAGAGCTTGTCCTTCTAACCAACGTACGGCGTTATTGTCCATGGCACTACTAATCCCATCAACACCAAGAACCAAGAAGTAACGATTTAACAGATACTCGCGGAAAGCTACATAGTGATCCCAAACACAGAAATCTACCGAGGACCCCTGCTCTCTCAGTTGAGGTCTCACCAGTAGATCTCCTCGTCCTTCCTCTTGATTTGCTCGCCGTTTCACCCTCTTTACACTACGGTTATACCTAGTGGACAACTTGAGGTACGCTGCTCTCACTTGAAGTCCCACCAGTCAATCTCCTCTTTCGTGATCTCAATTTATCTTTCTGCCTAGCTTCCTATATCACCTCCCTATGCTACTGCCTACTGGTCTTGATACTCTGTTTACTACACTCTGGACAACGATTTTCTAACTCCTGAAATCCTCATCAGTTCTCATGTTCATCTTTTGCCCTAGCCTTGATCTTGCTCTCTGTTCACAGATTTCCATCTCGAAAGGAAAGCTTTCCGTGAAGACAACCCCAGGTACAGTAAAATCCCAAAATTACCTTTAAGCAGTGCATGTATTAACCCTGAACACCAGACACCTGAAAAACAGACTCCCGAGCACAAACGGTAGCGTCTCACTCCAACAGCGGTGTCCAAATCTGTCTTTGAAGCTTGTCCCGTTGAATTGGATAAAAGAAAACTGGCTGAAGACCTCAGGCCAGGAAACACTACTCGCTTGCCATGTTGGCTTCAGGAAAGTGGAGGACCTACGACGACTGATGATTTCCTGGCCAATCCTTGTCCTGTGGCCTTGCTTCAACGAAAATACAACCCAAATGCCCAAGAAAGGTCCATTTCGACTGGCCCATGAACGCTGGGATAGCCTTACCGGAATAACATCAAGCAAACACGAAACTCTGGCCACTCCAACCGACGCCAGTGATGATATCGCAAAAGTACAGAGATAGCTTCGCGCAGCGTGGTGTTGCCTTCGGCTCATAGCTGTTCTCGACCAGTACAATACTTATTCCTCAGCTCAAAATATGGCCGAGAAATGAAAAAGTGCAGGCAGAAATGGCCAGCGAAAGAAATCTCACATTCCCTGACCGCCGTGCGCAAAACGTCTTCACGAAGATCAACCTTGGTCCCGTTAATAAGCATGAGAACAGGCTGGAAAAGGTCAATCGTTGTTGGGAGCTTCTCAAGTACTTTGGTTGGCTCAAAAGCGCACCAAACGCTGGGTGGGTTTGCGTTGCAACAATTGAGGCCATTCTAAACGCTCCTTTGGTCAATGACCACGATCTGCCATCATGGATGCAAGCTCCCAAAGAAGAGGTGAGAAGCCAATTGTCGTATGACAAAGCCGACCAAAAGTACCATCCAATCGACGTCACTGCTATGTGGCTTCGAAACAAGAAATTCCCCCCAAAAGGGGGAACTGGATGCTGCACTGGAGGCAGCTGAAGGAAAGGGACTGAAGATCCCCACCTCAAAGTGCAGATGCCTCAAGAACCTTGGGAATTCACCTCAATCGTAATGCTCGGGATTACATTCGTGTCATGTTCAATTGCCGAGAGCTGGGTCTGGACCTTCGTACAGTGACGCTGCACTACCACAGTGGATCAGTTGGTGAAGATCTATTCTACGACGCCATGACCACGGAATGGATGAGATCAAAAGTGCATTTTCCGATGGTACTAACACTGGATTTCGAATTGACATGGTGCTCCGGGCCTGCAAGTTCGTTGAAGAAAAGATCCATGAGTGCGGCATCCTTCCAGACGCTATGGTGGAATCTTTGCAAACGGCCTTGTTGGCGACCGGCATTACCGACGAATCGGACGTCGTTCACGGCCTCGACAAATCTGTCACCGCAAAACCGACATTATCCTAAAAGGACAGAACGGTACACCCAAGAAATTTGATCCCCCAGCGCAGCAGCAGCTGTGGTACAGCGGCTACGACGTAACGACCGAGTTGGGACGCCGGCAGTGGCAGAAGCAATTGGTACCCAAGCTCCTTGCGGGATTTGACATAGGTGAAGTGCCCATGGAAATCCCCAGATCGCTAAATGCCACCAAAGCCGAAAAGGACAATCTCCAGGAGGCTCTGAAGCAAGCTCAGCGAGATGGTGAGGACCAGATCACACATTCTGTAAGACAGCCCTATCAGCATGTGGCCTAAATGTTTACGGGTACGCTAACATTATTTCTCTAGGCCGAAAAGGACTATTCTACTCTGCAGCGCGCATTTTCAGGCACAGAAAACAGAACCGGATCATGCCTCGATCTTTGTCTCAACCTACTCGTGTGTGAGGAGTTAGACCATGGACGTTACCGATCCACTCCTCAAGGAGCATACCCAAACTCATTCTTATCCCTATCAAATCACCGGTGCCATTGGCTTAGTTCTCAAGCTGCCAGGCTCGATCGATGCGGACAAGTTGTTCGAAGCCTCCACAGATGTCTATACAGAACCCAAATCAACAAAGCGTGCGGTGCTACGGATGCCCTCCGGGAAGTTCAGGTTTTCGGTGTATTTCCCGCGGATAGAACTGGTTTCGGAAAAACCAAGCACAGCTTGCTTGCGACACTGCTTTTTTTCCATCCTATCGACAAAAAATAAGCCCAACATGCTCATTGTTCCATCTTCGCTGGTTGGACAATGGCTCCAGGAAATCAAAAGCGAATGGACTGGCCTAGAGCCAGTCCCATCCTATAACCAACCCGCTCTGGCGGAGTCGATGCTAGGACGCAGATTAACGCATCATCAAATGTTTAATCTACGGTTCCCGAAAGCACTTTCCCCCCAAAGGCCCGGCGTGGCATCCTCATTTCCTCGTATGAGACCCATAGTCATCGCACTTCATGGTTAGAAACTAGGAGCGAGCCCATATTTTACGAAGTCTCATCCAAAACACTAATTTCACCTTCATTGGTCACATACTGTATGTCACGATCCATAGGGACGCTGTCTGACCATATACGTCAGCCACATTTCGGCTCCACTCACCAGTGGGTCTCAAATAAATCGCGTAGCTTATATGTCACACATAAACTGTACATTTGTCTGCCTAGGTTACTACAATAATAGGATGGATGGATGATTTTATTTACGCTGACCCGTTGCTTTGGGCGATATAGCCACTATGGTGTAAATACATGTGTCTTCCATGAGAATGCACAACTTCTTAGACGGACTTTGAGCCTCGCCGTGGTCTGTGTTGGTTTCCACTTCGACCTGTGAAAAGGTTTGGGGTGCTCCATTACCCCGCGTGATTGTGTCCCCCAACGGAGACGTGATGGTGGGCTTTTGGAGTCGCGGCACTAGGATTCGACCAAGAACCCCAGAAGTTGCCGAGGGACCAGTTCCAGTTCCACTTTCCTGCAAGTTACAGGGCGCAAACCACTTGCCCTACTACCGAACAACACGGTTAATGAAGGTGAGGGTGCTGGGATTCACCCAGAATCTCCGAAATTGTAGTTCCGAAAGCCTGGTGAGTGTTACAGATGAAGAATTCATTTCTGTCTAATTGGTTTGGAAACCACTCTTCTGCGACGCAGTATAAAGCTTCCGAAACTCCGACTCGCGTCCCAACAATGCCCCAGGGGCATCAAACTCCACCAGTGCCCCATGCTGCAGAAGCGCCACGCTATGAAAGCGTTCGATATGCCGTAACCGATGCACGACGGCAATCACCGTCTGCGCCGCGCACTCCTGCTCGATTATCTCGAGCATCTGGCCCTCGGTTTCCCAGTCGACGCTGCTAGTCGCCTCATCCAAGATGAGCAGAGGGCTCGGAGTGGTCAAGGCCCGGGCCAGCGCCAACAGTTGCTTCTCACCATATGACCAGTCCAGCGCGTCGAGGGTGGCATCCAGCCCGCCCTTTCCGCGGATCGATTCCCAGAGGCCTACTTTCCTGATAGCAGCGACGACCCCCTCTTCCGATAGGGTGCCTGTGGGATCGAAGCTATCACGCAGCGTGCCCGGGAGAAAGAAGGGGTCCTGTGGGATGACAGTGATCTGTGCACGGAGCGCGGCGGGGTGGATGGTGGATATGTCCACGTTGTCTATCGTGATGCGGCCCTGGGAGAGTTCCAGCATGCCCAAGAGGGTCATGATGAGGGAGGTCTTGCCGCTGCCAGAAGGCCCGCAGACGGCGATCTTGTGGCCGCAAGGGATGTGCAATGAGAGATCTGAGAGAATAGGTCTACCGTGAGGACTATCAAAACCAGGAAAGGTTTTAGCGTTTGCTATTGACTTGTGGGGAGGGATAGGATTCGTGGACTCCTTTCCCTCTACGTACCTATACACCGCGTTGACATTCTCGAAACGGATCTCTGCGCGAGTTAGCCAGCCCGCTTCTATCCCCTCCGATGCTTCGGCGGGCGTATCGTTCATAAATTCCTGCACGCGCGCCACTGCCCCGAGTGAGATCTCCATCTCCGTCCACGACTCGACAGCGGTGTTCAGGTTCTGACTGATGGAGATGATCAGATTCAGCGCAACTCCGATTTCACCGGCGCTGAAACGGTCCTTCAGGGCGGTGACCACTACAACGAGGATAACCGCGAGGAGCATGACCAGCAGGTCCAGCGCCAGCTTGAGGCCCTGTCGTATACAGAACAGCATGTAGAAGGGCTTCTGGGTGACGTCGAGCTTGGCAAGGCATTGCTGGTGGAACTGCGGTTGCCACTGCAAGCTCTGAATCACCGAGAGTCCGCTGACGGTTTCTTGAAAGTGGGAGAATAGGAGTGCCTTGGCTTCGATATCCAAAAGGCGGACCTGGCGGGAGGTCCGGAGGTAGCCGTGCTGGAGGACCCAGATCGCGAGTAACACGAATGGGAGCGCGATGGTGATGTATTTGCCGACCACGCAGAGGATGACCAGGCTCACGGCGCAGAGGCTGAGGGCTGGATGAATGATGTTAGTGGAAGGACTTTGGTCAGGTGTAGTGGGTAGAGGCTTGCCTTCCACAAAGTTTAATGCGGTGGTCGGGAGCACAAAGTCGATGAGTTGCATGTCTTGACTAAACCGGTTCATGATGCTTCCGCTATCGGTTTCCTGGAAGAAACTGAAGGGCGCGCTGCAATTTGGTCAGTATAGGATTCCTGTAGCCGATGGCTTCTCAATGTACCGTAGAACAGATTTCAATAGGTCTGAATGCAGAGCTAGCGAAGTGTTGCCGACAATCTCGACGATCAACGTCCTATATCGAGATAAGCGACTTTTCACTTTGGGAGCAAAAAAGATCTTACCAGCAACCGGCCCCAAGGGAAAGAATGGCCAACAGAGAAATGACCGTATAGAACCCGAGGTATTTGCCCACATCCGAATTCGGATGAGCCTCATTTGCATCGGACCACCATTTTAACCAAATTGCTAAATAGCCAGGTTAGCCTCATTGCTTTGAGAGCATATGAGCAAACTTACTTACAGGAGAACTGAGTGGTGAAGCCGTACGCGAGCAAGAATGTGGTAAATAAGCCGACTTGCGGAAGCCCTGCTTTGCGGGCGTAGTAGCTGTAGATGGACCAGCTGCCATCTCGCCTTGCCAGGTTTTTCTTCAACTCGGTAAATTCGGATTCAACTCCTTCGCTACTTGCATGCCTTGGTAGCGGATTGGATTCTGTTATTTCGTTGGGTTCTGCGTTCACTGCGCCATGTTTGTCGTCAAGGCTAGACTGTGTGTACTCGGGCAGCTGGTCGATCAATTCCTGGTATGTGCATTGCAGAACTTTGCGACCACTTTCGAGGAGAATAACTTCGTCCGCATACGGAAGCAGGGATCCTAAGGCTTTCATATTAACAGCGTTACATCATGGGGCTATATGATATACCCACGAGTATGAGTCGCAAGAACTACGGTTGTACTTGTCCGTCGGAAGATCCCATCGCGCCCAAATAGACGCTCGCCAACGATACGAGTACTTTGTGCGTCTAGTCCACTGAAGGTGTCATCAAGAACCACATTGGGGAGGCGAGAGTAGACTGCGCGCGCAAGAGCCTAAGTTAAATTAGTATTTAGTCTGGGGCAACAGATCCCTCGGCTTTTCTCTCACCACTCGCTGTTTTTGCCCGCCGCTGAGAGATATTCCACTACTGCCAGCAATATGCATGCTTCCTTGAGGGAATTTGCGGATATCGTCCACGAGCCCACAAGCCGAGATGGTAAGACCATACCATTTCTGATCTAATGCCGTCCACCCAGTGATGTTATCCTGGATGGAGCCGTTCAGAATCCAAGTGGTCTGCGGACAATAAGCTATATTTCCCGAGCCAAGGTACATAGTGCCATGGTCAATCTGAGTCTGGCCCATGATCGTATCCAGAAGAGCGGATTTTCCGCACCCGACTGAACCCACGACCATGGTGATCTTACCTGTAGGAATGGACAGAGTTAGGTTGTGAAGAACAGCAGAGCTTTCAGCTGTCCAAGATATGGATGTGTTATGGAATGACACGAATTTGTCGGACGAAACTGATATTCCAGGTGCCTTGGTAGCCACAGACAGCTTGGAAAGTTCCACACTATCACCCGTCGAAAATTCAGATTTCGTCTGGGCAGGAACCAATTCACTTGACCTTTCTAGCAGGCAATAATTCTGAATCCGATCGAAGCAGCCGATAGACTGTGTTACTGTGGGCAGCGACTGGATGAACCCCATCAGAGGAGTTGTCAAGATAGAGATAAGAGACAGTGTTGTGAATGCCTGCGTAGTGAGGACCTGCGCATCGTGCTTGGTCACAGCTATAATCGTATACACGAGGAAGACCGCATACGGTGAAAGGTCCACAGAAACAGAAGCTAACCAAGGCAGAATCCTTTTAGTTAGTGATTTTCTACAATATTTTCTCTCTTTCAAAGAACCCGACTTACATAGCATTACGACTCCCACAATAAGCTTTCGAAATCGCTTAGAGGCACCGAGCTCAACCTTCCGATACCGAGTAATGATATCAAACAAGACGACTTCAAGCCCCATCATCTTGACAGCTTTCATATCCCCGAGCATCGCGGTTGTAACCGCTAGACGTTCCTGGATATGTCCCACCCACTTCTTCTGTGCCTCTCCGCATCTAGCAGATACCGGGGTAGTGGCAAGAATACACCCTAAGGTGATGACGGCCGGGAGCACGCAAGCGACATACACTTGACTCTCTAGCAGCCAGATAGCGACCACCACAGAGAACAGAGAGGCCCAGATCTCATGCAGAGACCGCATACTCGATATGATACGTGGCATGTCCGTGCCCATGAGGGCGACCGCGTCCCCAGTTTTTGAGTCGGTTGTACTTCGCAGCGCCAGAGTCTGCTCATAGATCATGGCAACCAGGCCTGAGCGGACGGCCGTCGCCAGACGGCTAGCCTGGCGGTAGTAGATCGCCGTGGAGACGGCGATTCCGGTGTAGACGAGCGCATATGCCCCGACCAGTGCATGTCCGTATCGCTGCCTTTCCGCGGTCGTCGGGGAACTCATCCACTCGATGGTGACCGAAAGCAGAAAGGGCTGGCAGAAGGTGAATCCTGCAAGGAGAATCCGCGGGACGATCGCGGAGATAAGGGGCCGATAGTACGCTCGAAAGATCGCTTTGATCAGTCGGTACTTCCCGTGGGCGTTGGACCAGGACTGCGCCAGGCGCACCTCTGCGCATCGCCCCAGCAACGTGGAGTCTACATCTGGCAAGTCGTCCAGGCAGATAATAGATCTATAGGCGTCCCGGAACAGCGGGAGGACCCAGGCAAAGAGATTGCGTCCCCAGAATCCGTGAATCTCCTCGACTGCAACATCTTGGTAGAGCGGATGGATGAATTTGACTTTCCGAGTGGACTCCAGGACGGTAGTCATGATAACAACAATATAGATGGCCGTGAACAGTCCTCGGGGAACTGGAATAGAGGGGATGAGCCATAACGTGCGCAAGTGAGGTATGTAGAGAATAGACAAGGCCGAAAGATAAACGATGAGCGTGTCAGACGGCTGGATTGCTCGTTGATCCTCGAGAAAGGATAGGATGATTGCTGCTAGGGTTGCGGCTATGTTAATCGCCGCTGCCGGAGTCGAGATCTTGGTGTGTAGGGCTACGGTTTGCACTTGGAACACCGTAAAAATGATCTGCAGCACAAAAAGCACAAACAGTAGGACCTAATGTTTTTGGACAGTAAATAAATGCTTCCCAAACCAATGAAAATATAATGGTACCGATTTATAGATTGCAAATTTGAGAGAGTTGGACTTCACGGGTGACCGTCGCAGGATCTCGAGTCGAGGGATGAGCCACAGTAAGAAAGCGACTGACGGCAAAATACTGAAAATGGCGTCTTCAAAAAGCAAGGTGAAGTCAAATGCTCGACAGTCAACATCGACTGGAATCTTGAATTGATTGTCACTATCGACAGGACAAACGTTCGAAACCATCCTATTCAAATATCGAACCTCTACCGGGTCACGAATTTTGAAATAGCCAGTTTTTATGGTCCCTGGGAAAGATAAGAGACTACGTGCTCAAACAGCCGAAGCCATTGGAAAAGCCTAGCGTGATATCGTAATGGTAATTCGCTGGCCCTACTGGCTAAAGGCGAGCTGTGCGAGACACCTTTAACCCGTCGGATCCCCGTTCCAGGAGAGATCGGATAACCGAGCGCAAGCAGTCTTCCCCAGAATCCTACGTGTACAGAGGATTTAATACAAATAATGTTGATCTTAGGTTGGATACGAGGGCTACGAATTAATTATTTGGATAAGATAGATCTTTCCGAGGTTGGGCTTGCGGGTGACTGATTAAGTTGATTCCGTTACCTAGTAAAAACATGCACTTATTCCAGCCAACGCTAGAGAAAGATAGATTAATGAAACTAAGCGCCTGCGACCACTGTCAGTCTTCATTCGTTCATCTTGAGCTTTGGAATGAATAAAGAAGAGGGCAATCGATACTTGCAGTAAAATCCGATCAACCCAAATGCCCCGGTCACGCCCCGTACCATCAACAACATCCGTAGCCAACTGATCTTTCCGCTGCTATGTCCCTCTCGGAACGAGGTAGCGACGTGAGCTCTTGGGAGCCAGGTCTCCACCAGGGATAGCCTATGCTCGCCACGACAGTAAAGGCCATGCGAATGCCCAGGATCTAAAGCGGGTGGACGGTCGAGCTGCCTGCGGTCTGGAGAGACTTGGCCGAACTGTTCAGAAACACGGCAAACGATTGCGACAGCAGGACTAGAAGCCAATCTCTGTTTTCGGCGTATAGTTTGCGCCAGGAGTTCATCCTTTTTTCACTGCGACTCATGCTGTGAAAGATTGGGTAACATAAACAGATACCCTTTTGCCGCGTGGATTCGCAATAATGGCACTTTATCACCAACGGTTTCCGCTTAAGCTCCTTATCCGATGCTTTCACACAAAAAAAGAAAAGAAATACCACCTTATGCAGTTGTACCCGAAAAGGGCCGTGTAGCGCTGTCGTGGCAAGGGAGATCGAACAAAGAACCGAGTTCTAGTAACTAGGTATGGGTAGTCCAATTTTGGTCAATCTTTCCGACGACGCAACGAATTGAACGGCTGATCGATAGTGAGGGGACATGAGGACAAGGGTATCATTCGCCAAGTTTTACGCCAGAATGGCGACAGATAGGCTTTTGCTAAGCACTGCCAGGCCATTACCTCGGTAGGAGTGGATACACCCGAGGACACTGGCGTAAATTAGGATATACTCGCCTAAAGTACGGGTGATGAACCGGGGTAAGTGCATTAGCGTCCCTTCTCGCCCGAGCTGGTATCTATGAGACAAGGCAGGTCGAATGGGGAAAAAGGGGTCCATTCCTCAAAGAGACTGAAGGCGGAAGAAAGCGGGCGGAAATAAAAAGAAAGAAACACAATTGACAAGTCCTCTTCCCAAATCAAGGACGAAGCTCCAGGTAACAACGAACTAATAAGTACTAATCCTACTCAGTAACTACACTAGTGACTGATAGCGAAGACGACATTTCCATCATGCATGAGGGGTAGATAACATTATAGCCTGTAAGCGTCTAACTCCTCCAATACCGCCCAAAAAACATCCATGGTATCCCACTTGACCAACCCCTCCGAGCGCAATGCCTGCGTGGAGTGCTCAACGGCTTGAATCGCAGCTGCAAGTGATTCATCATCTTTCAGTCCTTCCTCCCGGATCCATTCACGGAAGAGCGGGGACAAGACGAATTGAACTTCCCAGTGTCCATCTCGCATCCTTTGCACAGGCTGCAGATAACCTGACCGGGTCTTGCGCCACCCAAATTGCCCCGCGAGTGAGACTATCTCCTCCGGTGTCAGTGTGCTGCGCACGTTAGGCTCGCGCACCCCTTTGGGCCGCTAACACAAGCGGGACTTGCTCCGGTCCCGACGCCCGCAAGCCATACTCGGCTAAACAGAGGTAGCGTACTTTCGCATCGGCGAGGAGTCGAAAGACCTCGGAAATAGCGGCCTGGCTTGGGAAATACCACAAAGAGTGGCACAGGACCGCGGTATCGAAGGGACGGTTGTTGTCGCGATCGTCGCGCAGCAGGCTGGCGGTGTCGGCACGTCGAAATTCGATCTGGTCACCCCAAATGGAGGCCTGATGTGCTTCTGAGATTGTGCCACCGTGTAGGGCCCACCATAATCCGGGGGTGCCGTGTCGATGCCCACGATATGCCCGTTGGGCCCCGTGGCCAGCGCGAGCACTACGCTCGATTCGCCTTGCCCGCATTCCACATCTAGCACACGTGAGCCGGGTTCAATCTGCCAGGCGGCGCTAAGAGCAAGTCGGTGCTGGAATATCGGTTCCACGATGGACTCGCGTGCGCGCTCGTCGTGGAGATAGCTTGCCAGGAGGGTATCCATTGGGTAGTACGGAGGTATGAACAATGATAAGATAGATATGAATTTCGATAAGAGGACTACCAGTCATATGCACCTGCTGCGAGATCCTCGACAGAACAAGAACAACGTTCTGGTCAAAGAAGTGGATTTCTTTTGTAAGCTCTTCTGCTTTCCAATCATCTTCTGCCCGCGGGCCCAATACATGTGTTCTACCATGGACTGACCCACTATATGAATATAGCCCCCTTCCTCGACCAAGTCAATATCCCCCTCCACGACGTCAAGGTCAACGGTAGCCTTCTGGACATGGACAACTCTACCTTCCGGGCCCCGCCCTCCCCCGAAGCAGACCATGCCTGGAATCGCATCGGGAGCCTCATACCCATGTCATGAGTGGAGACGACGTTTTGCGGTTGGGTATGGACCCCACCAAGACCGCTCGCTTCACAGAGGACTTCGGATTCGGCCCCGACGCTCACATTGCTGAGCTGGACATCCTGCACACGATTCACTGCCTGAACGCCATCCGCCGCGACGTCCACTGGCGCTACTACTACATCGAAAAGTACCCAACCGGCGAGTTCCCGGAGCTGCACCGCATCCACACAGACCACTGCCTCTATGTCGGGTTACAGAACCTCATGTGCGCGGCTACCTTAGATGTAGTCACCCAGCCCTGGGTTCACGGCCAACTGCACCCATTCCCGGACTTTAGCATCAACAAGAAGTGCCGTGATTTTGGGGCAATTTTGGAGTGGCACGAGAAGACGATGGTGGATGATCTAGAGGCATATGCAGCGCTGCGCATGCCCGAGGGTCATGTTCCGTATGAGATGTCGGAGGAGTTTTATCGGGCATTTGGGGTTTCGGATGGGGAAGAAGAGCATCACCATTGATTTGTTGTGGTCATGTTCCGTTTTGTGAGCAGCTGCACATTTCTTTGGCGATAAACCTGTGAAATCAGTCGCTTTCAGATGGAGGCACTGGAATTACTCATGAGAGATATCTTTCAGGCACGACGCCACTAGTTAGATGTAGACATAGGAGTTGAATTATTCAGACTGGACTAGGCTCAGGCCTTTATTGTGTGTATTAATATATCCTGCCTATGACTCGCGAAATCTCCGGAGGCTATTACATCCATGGGTACGTAAATCTGCCTCAGCCATCTGTAGAATTCGATCCATATACAGGAGGAAGCTACGCGGATACCTCACCGTGCGAAATGCAATAATTGTAAAAACAGGCGTACTATAGTACTTTATAAACACCTCAGGATTTATTATAAGGAATGGAGTAGCTCGGGACATTTGATATCGACACTACCAACAGAATGGAAGGATGTATTCATGCTAGAAATAGGTATATGTGATACCTATAGACACTCATTTCTAGAAAAGAACTTTGAAATGTCGTATTAGTGTACTGTACCTAGGTAGCGGCGAAAGTATCCAGCGCACATAACAATCCCAAGTGCTGCAAGTATGTAGCGATGTACTGCTCAACTGCAACTTCCATATACAAACCCACCTGTGCGCGATATTCACCCATGGATGGTGACAATGGTAAAGTGTACCCTCTATCTCTAAGCCAGTCCCGCTTCTGTGTTCCCCAACCCTGATTCTGACCTTTCGAGACGGATAAGGAACATGATCATTGTCATCGCCCCACATAAGGCGGCCGAAATTAGGTACGGCATGCCCAGCCAGGCACCACCCAGATTCACTCCCCAGCGGAACGCCAACGACATCATCGGTCCCGCTAAGAGCGAGCCGAGGGTATTCATCAGGGCCAGGGCGCTGTACAATGTGCCTATCATTGTTGGTTCCGTCAAGGAGCTGATCAGGCTTCGGGCAAAAGTTCCGAATCCGGACCCTGCGGTATAAATTGCAATTCCTATTTTCATATCATTAGGAAAAACACCAAGAATATTGAGCGTGACAGAAGATAGTGGAATTACCAAATATGGAGAGCCCTACCACTGGGGCGATCCCCATGATCGCAAACCCGACAGTGATGGTAACGATGCTGATCCGAGCGAGGTAGAGGTCCTTCTTTCGTGGCTGTCGCTCGAACCTCTTGCGCATTGTACGGTCTATCCACGGGAGGACCAACATGAATTGTAGTAGCTGGGCTGCGGCTCGGAATGAGAGGAGCCAGCTCGTCTGAGCAATAAAGGACGTTAACATGTGTTTCAACTTCCCCTCTCCCTTGAGGGAAGTGAGGAGATTTCATCCTCATACCTTTGCAATAGGCCAAGAATACCGATTGGAGATATACTGTAGAAGAAAGGCCATAGAGTCACGCGCAAATGTCGAGATGAGAAAAGAAAGAACGAGAAGGGCGACGTTCTTCTGTAGAAAGATCATCCGCATGCTGTCCTTGAGGCTGTGAACCAGAGCCGTGATGCTCCCGTGGTCTTCCGGAGGCGGGCCCGACAATTCCTCATTGTCACGGGAGCTTGAGATCTTGGTGTAATCGCCTTTCTGATCTCGGAAAGCATGGTGGTTGGTCTCCGGCATGTACCAGGAGAGCATAATGGAAATAGCACCACAGACGGAGTTCAAGAGAAGGGGAACCCAGAGGCTTTGTTTCATTAAAAGTGAGCCCATCGGGGGCGAAATGATTTCGGCAACTATCACCACTGCATTGAAGTACATGAAAATTTGCGACCTGTTTTCAAGCCCTTGTAATTAGTGGCACTATCAAGAAATGCTAGCAGGCAAAGAGAGTCCACCTCTTTATCTCCGGCGTCGAGTCGGTAATGACCATCATACTCACTGACGCGGCGACATTACTGCCCCCTCCGACGATGAGAAATAGAGATGATAACCACATTGCTCTGATTGGTAATCCTAGCCAACCTGCGTGAGAGGTCATAAATTAGCGCACCCCTTTTGATGAGAGAATTCGGCTAGAACAAAGTTAACCTACAGACGATCAACACCCAGGACATTCCAACAAACTGCCCCACGAAGCTCAGCGTCATGATCAACCGCCTTCCGTACTTATCTGCTAGAATCCCGTATGGTAAGGCAAGGAGAAGTCCGGGGATATTGTCGAAGAACGATTACCATCCAAGAAGTTGGGCCAGGGCAGCCTGAACAGGACCTTCCTTGCAGAGATGCTCAGGAATTCCCGCTTCTGACGCTGAGGATTCGGAATCTTCATAGTACTGCTGACATATGATTGACTCCAAGAGACGCAGTTGCGGTGCGGCGCTGATGAAATACCCAATTCCAATCAGAAGATATATAAGAGTGCAGAAGATAGCGGGACGCCAGTAGACAGTGGTAACATCATTGTCTTGATCTAGACTTGGGTCTATTGTGGACTGATTGGCCAAGGGACGCTGGCGCTTTCCGATCGTCTCGTGATGAGGCATTCTTTCAAGTCTAGATTGAATGAATGTTGAAAAAAGATTCGCACTTCCGAGAAGTGGGCTTTTAGAATAAGGGGGATTTGAACAGAGTGCATGTGGTTGCATGAGCACATAGGTTGAGATGAGATACCAAACCAAACCAATACAAAGGCACAACATTGAATGTCATACATACCGTTACATACCATGACCGTTTCTCCTCCAGAGATCCGATGGGGCACCCACCGCACGCCCGCGGGCGTCCCGTTGCGCCGCATTTTAACACCAACCTCGGAATTTCCGTAGCTGCTCGATAAGGCACAATAATCCTGGTATATTGCGTCCATTTTCTCGATCAAAAAGTACGTAATAGCAATTCCGATTCCCGGTACTGCCAGACAGTGAGCGAAACAGGAATTAAATGTGAACCACTCTGTACGCTCGGACTTTGACTATGTAGTAAGGTCAACTGTTCCCTACTGTCATAGTGAAGTCCAACACCAGTCACATCTTGCCTTCCTTTCAACCATTCCCTTATCCTCCATTTTTGCCAATATTCTTTATCTTGAAAACGCAATCTCAAAGAACTATGCTTGGAGAGATAGAGACCGGTTATTCTCGAGTATCCTCAAGCGATGGAGGGCTGGATGAGCCCAAGCACGGAAGTGGACCGCAAAACCCCAAGCCCTGGAAGAGGAACTAATTTGTGGTTCCTTACTTTAGAGGCCGTACCAATTTTCGTATATATACCACAGCTATCGTGTTCGTACTCTACCGTTAGACCTTAGGGATGGGGCCAGAGTGTAGGCTTAGTGTTGTAATACCGCTTCGTTATCGATTTCCCTATAAAGGCCTATAAAGATCGCACGTTAGTCACCGTCGAGTATTAGGAAGATAGAGAACATATTATTAAATGGAATTATAAAGACTATTAGTGCCTTAACGTCTATTATTACGCTTCTTACCGCTACTAAACGAACTAATTTTATCTTTAAACAACTGTGTTGTGTTGTGGTTTACCATGACATTCAAACTGGTAAACAATAAACAACCCTTGTTCAACCATTTTCTGGATCCATATTCCTCCAGTAGTGTACATGTGTATAAATAGCTTGATGACGATAAGCGTCCGCCTTTCTGACATCATCGTAGACAACTGCCCAATCTGGGTATGTGCACAACCAACACATGTACTTTTGGTGCTGCAATATTTCATTAGGGGAAAACTAGATAGTTCGTTATCTCGATCAAGATTAAAATCAAAATCAGCAGGCTGCAGCTCTCCATCCAACATGTAAACATGTTCAACACGATATGATGGAATCCGTCATTGGCGGGAGAGCTGACCGAGTGATATGCCTATGGCGCTGTACGGATTTCATATCCTCAAGGGGACAATCATATGTCATTTTTGCCTCCGAGCATCATCCGCGGATACAGAAGCTCTTCAACTGTTCTGAATATTCATGCAACAACGACGGATTCGATCCCGCGACGCATGAACCCAAATCAAGCACAATGCAGTCATTTCCCAAACCAAGCACATTGCAGTCATTTCGGCAGCACCGCAGGATCCGCAGGAAGCTGGAGCAACAATTTGTTACAAGACATGAGAAGCCCGAAGATGTCTGGACCCACGAGGGCCAGTACGGTTACCGCGAAGGAGAGATCTACACGCATCCTCGCGAGCGCGGTGATGACTTGGCTGCCGAACAAAGGAGGGAGCATGGCCATCGTACTTCTATATCTGGGCCGTCTCTTGAACCTCGCCATAGCACTCGATCACATCTGGGGCGGGAAGGAGATATCGAGGGCGCGGAGTATGATCCGGAACTCGCAACCGATCCGCATACCATCAACTCAGCAGAGACACTGGGAAACACGGCTGATATTATGGTGACTGGCGTCGAAAGACCCCGGCCCGGTGCTGCGGCGGATAGTGAATCTGATATTGAGTCAGCGAAAAGGAATAAACTCATTATCGTCACATATGAAGGTGAGACTGACGAAATGGATCCTCACAACTGGACACTGAGACGTCGAATGTTGGTGACTCTTGTCACTTCACTTATGGCATCTGTGGCCTTCTGGTCGTCCACGATTGATACCACTGCTCTCGTAATAAACAGGAAATTGTTTCATACCAGCTTTGAGGTCCAGACTTTGCCGACTGGTACGTGGTTGCACTTTGAATCACTTCAACCAGACTAACCGAGACTATCCAGCTATGTTCCTAATTGGTCTTGGACTAGGCGCATTGATAACAGCGCCTATATCAGAAGTCGTCGGACGCAACGTTGTGTACATCCCCACCATGATCGGGTTCATGTTGTTCAACATGGGGGCAGGCCTTTCCCAAACAATAGTACAACAAGTCGTTTGCCGCGGCCTAGCTGGCTTCTTCGGGTCTGCCCCGGCAGTTCTATCAGCAGCAACCCTCGTGGACGTCTGGTCACGCACTGAACGAGTCTACAGCTACCCGTTATATTCGATAATGACCTTCATTGGGCCATTGGTGGGCCCAACACCAGGAGCATTCGCCGTCAATTCGGGATCGGTAAGCTGGCGCTGGGTGGACTGGATGACCATAATCCTCGCGGGACTCGTTCTGATCCCGGTTGTGCTCTGGCTGCCCGAGACTTACAGCCCGATCCTGCTGTACTGGAAAGCGCAAGAACTCCGCCGCATGACAGGTGACGACCGGTACCGGTCACCGCTAGAGTTCAGAAAATCTTCTTTCGCCCATCGCTTGCGTTCCGCACTATACCGGCCACTTACGCTTTTTGGGACGGAGCCAATAATCATGATCCACTCGGCCTACCTCACACTCCTTTTCATAATCCTATACACCTTCCTCGCGGGCTACATCTCCATCTATCAGATAGCAAACAACTTCCGCCCGACCTCCGTCGCCCTCGCATTCCTAGGCATTTTGGTCGGAGTCCTGCTTTCTACACTGACCATCCCGATTGTCATGTGGCTCCTCCGTAGAGAGATCCACCGCAGCCGTGCAAGGGGCGAACAACGCCCAGACCCAGAGATCAGTTTGTACATGGGTATGTTCGGTGCGCCTGTTATCCCCATCTCGCTGTTCTGGATGGGCTGGACGGCCAGAACTGAAATCTCGTACTGGAGCCCGCTGGGCGCTTCCGTATTATATGGCTTTGGGACGTCGTGTGTCTTGGTCTCGGGCTACCAGTATGTCTCCGATGTGTTCGAGTCACATGCTACAAGCGCGCTTTCCGCTCTTCAGATGACGCGGCTTGCTGGTGCCGGTGTGGTAGCTATTTTCGGGGACATTATTTACAATGATCTTGGCATTGGATGGACATTGACTATCTGGGGTTGCCTTTCGGTGTTGTTTATGCCCGTGCCTTATGTGCTCTACTGGAAGGGGTATAAAATCCGTCAATGGAGTTGGTATTCACGCAGGCATGAACATGACTGAGGTATGTGCACGTTGCGCATGAACTATGGTCCAGATTTGAAGCATGGTGGTTAACGTCGTTATCGTAGCTAGTGCTTGTCTGTCGATCTTGGTATGTTCCCATGGGTTTCAAGCCGAACCCCATGTTATGAACAATCCCAAACCAACGAACGCGTCCAACTTCGCTTCGGTATCTTAGGTACAGATCCTCCATGATGTAGACCCAAAAAAAGCTTGCTAGAGAATGAATCCCCGTCACGAGAGTTGACCTCGATCTTGTCCGCTAGAGCGTAGAGCTCTACAGTATACTAGCGACAGGGAAATGCGGTTCAACATGTCTTTGCCAATGGACTTTGATTAGGTTGCTCGCGTACGCGGATCTGTGTGAATGGCCCGATTACTTCCTTTCTCCGCGCTAGTCCCTCATACTCATGAAGACGAATGAACAGGAAAAGAAAATTGGGAGAGCGGTTCCAGCAAACGGATGATGAACAAGATGAACAAGAGAAATGCGAAAACAAGCTTTGGAATCCCAGACGAGTGCGAAATAGACAAATATCAGGGAGATAACCTGCTAATAACATGGTAATAGCACTTTAATGATATGTTAGTAACGGATATTAACTTGTGAACTCTCTACATATATGTATAGATCCCTAGTTGTAGCATACAACAGGCCTCGAATACGTAAAGGACGACTAAAATAACTTTAATTTAAGTTGAACGGGGCGGCATCGGCAGGTAAAAAGAAAAGGTGGAAGATCGTTCAGAGCGGACGAATGGAATAACCGATTCATAATTGATTAATCCACTTTCCCGCAGCCCTTACTTCCGGAGCCCCACCCCATCCAGTCTATACACTGCATACAATATACCCCGTACTGTTCAGGCGTTGGGATCGCTATTCCGATTAGGATTGCGATTGGTGACCGAGGGGAAGCTTGAGGAGGGCTGGATTAGGGGCCGAAGCAAAAAGAGAATTGTAGCAAGGTAAACTTGTCGATCAGGTATGTTTACACAGTCAGACTATTCATCTTAGCTCGAACTAACCGATCCGACCTAAAACACCTTCGACAACTTGCAGATCCTCACTATGATGTCCTACATGCCTGCGCAAGTTTCCAGTCAGGTAAGGGCGCTAGGAACAGTAAGCCAAACAATCCTTCACACGTCCATAATAGATTGGTGTGCATTGATTAGGTGTATAGGGTCTGGTCTTCTCACATCGCTGGCAGTGCACCGCTCACCAGCGTGGATAATCACATGGTGTTCTCATCCTATATTGTATATGATCTTGGTCAACCCCTTTTATACTCCCTCCATACACATTGAGGTACTTTGAATGCGGCCACCTACCCTTTCGTATTCCGGCATCACAAGTTCCGTAGAAGCAACTTCACGAACGTAACGGAGATAGACAGGTTGCTTGGCTAGAAAGGTAGGAGCAGCCATGGTAAAAGTGTAATAAAACCAAGATACGGAGCCAAAGAATCCAAGGCAATTTTCATTAAAGCAAGAAATTGATGGGGTAAACCAAAAACCCGCTTGCCCAAAAGCCTGTGGATCTACAATAGTCTGTATAAAGCAGGGTCACGTGAATGTATCAAATCAGGCGCGCTTCCGCTCCAAACACGCGCTCAACCTCAAAATTTTACGTCTGATTTTGGGAAGACACCAGCATTCCCTATAATTTAGTCCAGTATTACTTAAAAAAAAAAACTATACTGCAACTTCTCACTGAATCTTTCCATGATTCCGTTCCGTGATGTCCATCATCCTTGAAGACAACCAGTCTCCCGGATTCTTACGTCTCGGCCCCACATGGTATCATGAGATTCCCTTTTTACCTCATGGATGGGAGACAACCAATGATCGAGGGTCTGGATCACTTAAGCATGCAGCGATGAGAGCACTACTGCGGGACCAGTCGGCGCTGAAGCCTGAGTTATTTGAATACGTCCACTGGTATCTGGCAGAATACCTTTGGGATGCCCTGAAAAGATGGTAAGTATTCTTAGCAGCTTTTTAAAATTTCTTAGCAGATTCTCGAGTCTGTTCAAATCTGACCGTCTACGCAGCAATAAGCAGACAATGCACATGTGGAAAATAATGGCCAGCGTTTATCCTGTACAATTTTATGAGGTTAGCCCTTACTACTGCCTCAATGCTGGATGTCCCAAAAAGCCACTAAGAGACTACATGGGTATTCTCAATAGCGAAGACCTTCGCTGGCGTGCCATCTTGACGATTGCAACCACATACTGTACTGCCACAGACCTGACTACTATACCAAACATCAAGAATCTGGTTGCCATGGACGTTCACAGTGAGCCATACACGTCGAATTATGACCCGCTGGCTCCCATAGGCGTTAACAACGACGGTCTCCCCTTGCAAGATGGATTTGTGCGTGGTTGGATTGAATCCAAAGCGTTGCAGCACCTCCGCATTCTCAGGTTCTACCACCAACACGAAATGACCGTTGCGGCACTGGGAGCTCTGCGTGAACTGCCGGAGCTCCAGCTCGTTGTTGCCTACGAGTGTAAGAATATCACACAAACAATTCAGAAACGCGATAGGCCCACAAATGGCATTATTCTCATAAAAGGATGGTCGGCCTGCAGACTCGATTGGTTTTGGGAAACCCACGGGACGTCAAAAACAATTGATGATAACCTCTTGGCCTTGCATCGTGTGTATCAGTCTAGTCTGCAAATGCCCGGAGATGAGCATTCCAGAAGACCATCGTCTCTGCCAACAAATCTCCCGATTTTGGAATTCAAACTAACAACTGTCGACCACAGCAGAAGAGACAGGGTTGTTGTCCGCTCTCGCTATAATGCAAAGTCAATTGTATTGTTTACTCGAGATCCTGTGAAGCAAAAGCTCGATATCGAGAGGCAGCAATGTGCGAGGGAGAGGAAGAGGACCGAGCCACCTGAAAGGGGAGATCGTCCTGCCAAGCGAGCAGTGATGAAAGAGAGGGGACTAATGGACACGGAGACTTTGAATCAGTTCTTTTCGATGGATTGTCTATAGGCTGATGCAATGGAATAACTCCCGCGCATGTATGAAGCAGCACTGCAGCATTATTTCGAATTATTGTCATTTGGTTAGCAGACACGAAGTTCGCTACAATGACCACAGAAATGATCAAGTAACCGAGGTCCATCTAAAGATTCTCGCGTCCTTCCGCGGTTGACAACCCAGCTGAAGGCACGAGGATGATACTGCTGTTCGTCTGGATCTTCAGGACATCTCGGCCTGGGGGAAAAAGATGACAGAGGTGTCACTGGGCAAATATCTTCACATGTATGCGAATGCATACTCCCGGAGATAATTTTGGGACAATTGAGTCATCGAGGACAAATGTGTACATGTCGCATTCTAAGAGCTAATTGTGAGTGGTGTGTTGGACCTGCACCTCATTTTGGACCAAGAGCTTCATTGAGAAAGTATGAGCCGAGTTTCCGACTTGCATCTCATGAGGTCCCATTTAGGTTGCTATATAGTCCACGATGGTGGACCTCCTCTCCAAATAACGCCAATATGTAAGATTCTAATTGACAGGGAAAATGGGACCTTGGAAGTCAACTTGCAGGTGGATGATGTGACTTATGGGAGTGCCCTTGAAGCAGTAGCCCAGCGAGGACACTGAAGCCGCCAATTACCTGGTGGAAGCAGGGGCAGATGTGAACGTGCATACCCCTGGAAAACGGGACATACAGCAGTGGCACAGTTGTAGCAGCGGAGGGTGCTCACGATAGTGATAATCTAAAAATAATCAAGTGCTTGGTGGAGGCAGGAGCAGGCGTCAACTCCGAAATCGCTTTGTTATTCATCTACGATTTGACGAATGAACTGGCTTTCTTGAGAGTTTCAATAAAACCAATGGCCCTGGCATGTTGTTCATCTGATTAGCATGCGTTTATTGCGCCATATGTTACAATATATCTTTGTTATTCGATGGCCCGTTGAATCGCCAGTCTATTCTTCATCAGAGTCAAGGTCCGGCTCAATAACAGGGAATGTCAAAAGCGCAGCGATGCCACCCAGTCCCTCGAGACGCTTTCCACTTTCATGATCTGAGCTGAGAATTCGCACTTCACCACCCTCAACATCGCGGACGCGGTCCACAAGCGCCACCCAGCGTTTGCGCTCGGCCACATCTTGTGATCGAAACAAGCGATTCGAAACAATGAGCACGCCGCCACCTCGGCCGACAGCACCTTGTTCAACCGCGTCCTCAACCTCGCGAGGACCATAGGTTGCTTTGTTGGTCTCCTTGCGCAGTTGTTCTAGGAAGTCGTCCATCAATTTGGTTTCACGGGCGTACTTAGTATCAGCCAGGAGCCTCTTGACTGCAGGCGACTGCAGAACTTCTGATAGGGAATTCGTGTACCCCGATGCGGAGTGTACAACCACGAGGCTGGGAAGAAGTCGCTTGAGCCCAGGAGTCGTCGTTGATGCTTCAGACTGGATGTATTTTTGGAAGCCAGAGGCGACAAACCCAGGTGAGGCGAGAAGCACGGGCCGTACAGCTTCGTTGTTGGCACCTGAAGTAAGACTAGTGTTGAATTCCATTTGTCGAAGGAGGGTCTCGAGTGTGACTTTGAAAAACTTGTTCATTCCCTGGGAATATGCGGCATAAGTTTCGAACCCTATAGATAGGAACGACGACACAACAGCAGCAACTCACTTTATCATGATCCCCTCCTCCCTGCCGTTTCCGTGGCACAGACATCTCGATCTTTTGCTTCAATATTGTCTGGAATTGGCCAATAAAGCAGATATGAGCCAATCCTTCCTGCATCACTACTGCGATAGCCTCTGCACGGCGCTTCCCGCCCTCATCCACAGCGTCCTTGAGTGACTCAATTGCAATACTGTCCCACCCGACACCTTCTCCACCTGCCCCAACCTCTTTCTCTAACGTGAAATTGCGATTCAACTCTAGATCGAGAGTGTGGAATTGTCCAATTTTTGTGTGCGGTGTTTCGTTGATAATTTGTCCTGATACATGGAGCTGAGAGCTCTGCGGGTCAAAGTCGAGATTCTTCACGCGAATTACGAGGTTCAGATGAACGCGCGCCGAGCTCGTGGACCCGGTATCTTGAACTGTGGTAACTCGACGAATTGCGCTGGCTCGAAGGATATCGTCTGGTCGGATCAGGTTGTATGCGTGCCACTAGATTTGTCAAATTGTATATTAGATGACTGCGGGGTGCTGAGATAGACAACGAGGGCTTCAATACCATGTCTTCTGGCTCTTCTGGGCACAATGTCACCGCCCCAGAGCCATTGTGCTCGATTTTGTTCTTGATACAACGCATGCTTGCGCTGATATTTCACGGTTATAGGCCAAGGAGTTGGGAAGGTGAAATGCGACGAAGGCGGGTTGGAATGATGTTATTGCGATGTCGTCATATGTTGACCAAAAAAAGGGCAAATTGGAAGAATAACAGGTTGAATGGAAACAGATCAAAGCTCCGAGAGCTTTGAAATACTCCTGTGAAAAGAGATATTCGAGCAAATCAACCAAATATGAGGCTATTGACTATGCTGAACTTGCCAATCTCAACCCCACTATAGGATACTGCCGTTAATTGCCGCCCGACCGTCTAGGAGAATATCACTTGCTCTGCTGATGCGCGTTTTCTGGTAGGTCAGTTTTGGTCTTCAATGGGTTGTTGGAGAATATAAAGCTACTGAATATTCTAAGCCACCAGAATAGATCATACCAAGTATGGACATCACCCTGCGCTGTCATACTCAAGAAGTTATGCTTTATCGATAAGACAAAGCCCTAATCAGATCAGATTAGGGCAGACTTGACGTCAAAGCCTGGAGGTCTGATGGTTTTATTATTGGCAAGTTCACTCCGATCTGGATTGACCTATAACGGCATCGTTCAGATAATATTTATCTCCTTGGGTTTAAGTCCCTTATGCCCGTCAAGTTACTCATACGAGGCCCACATCGCATTGATCAGCCATTGATCTAGCCGCATCGAGTCCCCTACATCGTGTATCCCCACTTAGATGGCGTCAAGCTCCAAGAAACGGGCGGAAATTACTGGACCGAGGTGGTGCGTGTATGTCAAACCTTTTATCTATTAAAATAGCCCCTTCATTTGCCTTCTTCTACCTTTCAACCATCAAAACATTCGTACATCATGGCCCCCATTTCGCTGCAGTCTACCTATACGTTGGTCTCGGGCTACGAGATCCCCGTCGTTGGGTTCGGAGTAAGTATCTTGGCCCTTGGAGTTCCGACATGCACGACTGACACTTATCTTGGGAATCAGGTTTACCAAACGTATGACTATCGTTGTATAACACACCCGCGACAGATTATGTTGACTAATTCTTGACCAGTCCCTCCGATGTCACTGAGAGAGTGACACGCAAGGCCATTGAGCTCGGATACCGCCATGTAAGCAGCTGCAGAACCCAGGGAGCAAGTGTGCCTAGATTTGACTATCCTGTTACAGGTCGACAGCGCCAAGGTCTACGGAAATGAACTGGAAAGTGCCGCCGCCATCCGCGGGTCTGGACTTGATCGCTCCAAGATTTTCTATACTAGCAAGGTGCCCTCGAAATGCATGGGATACGAGAAGGCAAAGAAGGCCATCGAAGAAAGCATCGCTGCAGCAAACCTTGGCTACATTGACCTGTATGGACCTCCTCGTTCCTCGGAAAACGAAGTGGCTTAGCGAACTAATACCGTGTCTATCAGTATGTTGATCCACGCACCCTATGGCGGTAAGGAGGCCCGCCTCGGTACATGGCGCGCACTCGTGGAGGCCCAAAAGGCAGGCCATGTCCGCTCGTTGGGTGTGTCCAACTTTGCTATCCAGCACCTCGAGGAGTTGGAAGAATACATCAAGAGCGGAGCGGGTGGGCAGATCACTGTCGGTCAGTACGAGATCCACCCGTGGTGCCCGCGCGAGGACATTGCGGAGTGGCTGCAGAAGCGCAACATCGTTGTGGAAGCATACTCTCCCCTCGTGCAAGCGACTCGCATGAAGGAGCCAGTTCTACAGAACCTGGCTAAGAAGCACGGTAAGACCGAGGCACAGATTTTGGTCCGCTGGAGTTTGCAGAAGGGATATGTGCCCCTGCCTAAGTCAGTGACCGACTCTCGGATTCTAGAGAACTCGCAGGTCTTCGACTTCACACTTTCGGATGAGGACATGGCCAGCCTGAAGCTCAACACGTACGAGCCAGTGTGCTGGGATCCCGTTCGTGACTGCAAGATCTAAATAACGTCACCAAACTAGTAAAAGCCTAGCCTACCAATTGACTTAAGGGATGAAATTCCAAGCACCCAAAAACACACTGAAGATAGATCAATAATATCCTTTGAAAGAGTGCAGCCCAATTTGGTAATTTGTTGACTTAACCGCGGTCGGCACAACGTATCACCGCCAACCAAAAACAGCATCAACACTTTCAACCCTTTCTGGTACAACTCACCACAGCTCTCCATCCCCATGATTGTACAAGCAGCAGGCAGTCGCTGCCACGGTTGCCCCCACTATGCCGGATGAGCCGCGTCGCATCATCTTGGAGAAATCCAAGACCGTTAAACGCCGGTACCAGCGCAGCAACCAACGATTCCAGTTCACCGCATCCCAGATCGCACGGCTAGATCGCGAGGAGGAGCGAGAAAAGAAAGCAAAGAAGCTACGCGAGAAGGAAAAGAAACGCATTGCCAACAAGAAACGGAAAGCCGAGCAGGAGGCGCAGGCGCGTGAGGAGCGGAAGCGTCGCGGCATCCCGGATCCCCATGCACCCCGCGTCCCGTCGAGTCAGCCACTGCTGTCAATGTTCCTAGGGGCTGGGAAGCGACAGCCACCTGCTGTACCGGAGTCTGCGCCTACGGTTACGGAGCTCGAATCACATGATACCAATTTGGGGAGCGCGAGTGGAGATACGGAAGCTGAATCGGATGCCTTCGACGATTTGGATGAGGTATTGGAAAATGACCTATCTGAACTTCAAGAGGCAGGTATCCTGAATGAGCTTGAAGGCCAGGATATCGACACCGCGACCCGGGCCTCATTCAAGGATGAGGATGAGTTCTCGGACTGCTCGGTGTTCGACGACGAAGAAGTTATGAAAAAAGCCGAGACGGCTGTTACCACGCGAACGACTGACGAAGAAACGAAGGGCCCCTCTATACCCAAAGAACCATCATCTCTACGACCTGCCCCCGCTGTGCTCACGCTAGAATCATCTTTCGGCGAATCGTTCCAGTACGATGCCGCCGATTTCCTTGAAGCTGAAGCAGCTATTATCACACAAATGAGTAGTCATGGAACGAAAGACCCTTCTCCACCCAAGGACCACTGCCTTTTACAACCTCCTTTGCCTGATCGACCATGCAGTAGACCCACATTGGCGTCTTCTTTTGGAGATTCCTTTCGAGACGAGACTGCGGATTGGATTGAAGAAACATTTGCCCACGGAAGCGGCGACCCTTTTGACGAACTCAATAAAAGCCTTCCTTGACGACTCTCTCTGAACTTGGTAAATCGCTTCGGCAGCATTTCATTGCAGGTCTCACAGCTTGGAGTCCCTACTCTGTACATTCTTTGTCCAGCTTGGTAGTCTTGGCATTATGGGGATCGGATCTGGTCCGACAGTCGGGTGATAATCCGCGCGCTTCGGATACAACACAATGCTCGTTCGGCTCGGGAGACTCAAATATTTTGGAGTAGGAGCTGGGAGCTGAATTGTTCCGACGGAATGACCAGAAACGGTCTGGAGGATTCAGAACACTGTGTATAATTCGTATTATTATTGTAGCCAGAATCTTATCGGGAACCTTGGAATGACGTTACACTTACGATTTTGTATAGATCTCCAGGTCTGCCCGCTTCTCTATTCCTTCATTACTCGATTCTTCTCTACACTTTATCGGCTTAAACAAATCCCATCCCTCTGTGCCCCCAATCCCATACACAATGCCGTTCGTCCAAGCAAACAGCCACCGTCTCCACTATGCCGACTCCCACCCCGATGGCCCTCCGACCCCAAACGGCCTGAACTTCATCTTCGTCCACGGCCTGGGCTCCTCTCAGAACTACTACTACCCAGTAATCCCAAATCTTACAAAACGCCACCGCTGTATCACAATCGATACATACGGCTCCGCCCGCTCCCCGTACACCAATGACCCAGTCACGCTTCCCGGCATCGCAGAAGATGTCGTCGGCGTGATGGACGCACTGCATGTCCAGAAGGCCGTCGTAGTCGGCCATTCAATGGGCGGGATTGTAGCGACAGAGCTAGGCGCGCGGTGTCCGGACCGTATACAGGGCGTTGTGGCCATTGGACCGACGCACCCGACGGATACGTTGGTGACGCTCATGAACAAGAGATCGGAGACCGTTCTTGAGTGTAAGTTTTATTTCTATCTGATTGTGTAGTTCTACTTTATCGTGTCTTTTTCGAATTTCAATGCGCATCTGCTAAATTGTCTGCAGCTGGAATCGAGCCAATGGCAAATACCATCCCCTTTGGAGCTGTCGGCTCGCGCAGCACCCCGCTTCAAAGGGCTTTTATCCGGGAGTTAATCTTGGGACAGGACCCTAAGGGCTATGCCGCGCTGTGCCGCGCTATTGCTACCGCGGAGCCGGCAAACTATGCTGCTGTCAAGGCGCCTTTCCTGCTTATTGCAGGCGACGAGGACAAATCTGCTTCCATGGAAGGGTGCCAGCATATATTTCATCATGTCTCGAGTGAGAAGAAGTGCCTCGACGTTCTGAAGGGAGTTGGGCATTGGCATTGTATTGAGGCTGCTGATGAGGTGGGTGGATTAATTGCTAAGTTCGCGGATGTTGTGAACGCTCGGAATCCTGAAAGAGTCTTTATTTAGAACGGAGTAATGAATATGCCAGTAGATTTGTTTGGCTATATCGGTTATTCAATATGTGCAATGCGCTATTATAGAGTACATCAGAAATCACAAAAATGCTACTTTAGTGCCGCTGCTCGCTCATGCGCCACCGGTACTGGCCTCGAACTTCACTAACTTGACATCGTACTCAAGTTCAACGGCAGCTTGAGGATCATTCTTGCGCGGCAGGAAGTCCACAACAAGCGAGTCCTTGACAGCAAACACAGAGTCATTGTCAAGGTACTTATCCTTGCGGTCGAAGATCTGCGTTGTCAAAGGACGATAGTTATCATAGGTAGCCTGGGCAAGGTATTAGCTTTTGTCTCAACAACTCGATTTGAGGATATCAGTCAAAAACCTACGATAATATGAATATGAGCAGGGCGGAAAGGGTGACGATCCATCAGTTCAAGAAGCTTTCCAGCAGGGCCATCATTAGGAACGGGGTATGGCGTCGGACGCAGACAGTAGAACGAGTACCTGCCATCCTCATCCGTCTTGAACTTGCCGCGCAGGTTAAACTCAACCTGCTCGGGGTCCTGCTGCTCATACAACCCGTTCGTGGAAGCCTGCCACACCTCGACCGTGGCACCGACGAGAGGTTGCTTGGTCTGGAAGTCCATGACGCGACCGTGCATGAACGTCATCTCAGCATCAGCAGGTTTGGTCTTGACGATGTCCTCGCCGTTCTCACGATACGGTGTATCGGCGCGGAAGAACGGGCCTAGGATGGCCGTGGCTGTGGGTGCATCTTGCGCTTCTCCGGCGAGAGTGAAGGTGATTTCGTCGACGAGGCTGTTGTGAAAGGAACACACGTTAGCTGGTGACTTTTTCACTTGCCCGCGAACAAGAGTTCGGCTTACGATTCCAGTCCCAGTACATCGCACACCAGCTGTCCCTCGTTCCGCTTATCGTCGCTCATCCGTCCCGCCCAGTTGAGCATCTGCACGCCGGCCATCCACTCGTCGACGGTGAGCTCCTCCTCGCGCGCATAGTCGTGCATGTGTCTGATTAAGCCCGCCATGAGCTTCCGCATGCGCGGGGTGGTTTTGGGACCCATCGCGTTGATGACATTGTCCGTGAAGGTGGGATTGAAGCGGTGCGTCGCCATTGTTGCGCGTAAACCACTATACTTCGGCGCGACACGTACGAGTGAGTTAAAAATACAGGATGAAGGAGAGAGAATTTCAACAAGAGAAGTGTATGCGATTATAAAAAGTCCCTGAGACTGTTATATACCACGAACGCTGATCCGACGGGGCTTCCAGTCTGTAATCCAACCAGGTCTGACCATAAGCATGACGCTTATTTGAGGATGACCCCGCAGATCTATGCCAATGGCATGATTGGGTCTGGAGACATCGGATGTGCAGAAAGCCCAGCGAGTCGGTTGGAGGATTCGGAAGAGGTTGCGCTTCCGATTTCCCCGCCGTCGGGTAGAGTCCTGGAGAGCTTGGCAGTGAATTATTTAAGAGGTTTGATCTTTCATAATATGAAGTGAAAATACCACCTGAGACTTTGAACGTGAATCTCCTACAGATAGGAGCTTCCACACTAGATGAGCTGCGATATTTTGCAAGGGCAGCCATAAGTACGACGTATAAGTGGCATTCTATATAACTTTGGCCATCGGGATTGGTGCTATAAGCCTCAGCTCGGCAGGACCGTATCACATCAGCCCTATAGTCAGCTCTCCAACGCTGGGGTCCGGGGTTACTTTGGTCTAAGGAAGTGGAGACAATTTAGCATGCAAAGGATTCCACACTGGGTGTCTAGATCATTGGAAAGAAAAATCATTTGTATTCCCCGTGGTCGCCTCTGCTGAACAACAGAAAGCCCGGCTTGATATGATAGTTTCTACAGAGTCCCATATCACCACCACTCACCGCCGGCCCTTGGGATTCCCTTTCCTCGTCAGAGTCTCTGGAAGTTCCTGCAGAACCTCCCCTTGCTCCCATAGCTTACCCAGTCCAACCTTGCGCTCGACTACCACATCGAAAAAGTCCAACGAGACGAACTTCTGCGTCTCGCCCTTTTCAGCCTGCCCACTCTTCGCGACAGTTACGCCCTCACTAAGAATGACCCCGTTCTCACTGCGCCAGAACGGTACTCCTGCTTGCAGCGCTTTGCGCACATCGATATAAATCAAAACCTGCGCATCGCGCCGCATGCCTGAGATGACGCGGGAGTCGTCGGGCTTCGATTTATTCCGCGCGGCATCATCAGCGTGAACAGCAAGCACGGACTCCAATGACGGGCCAGTAGCGAAGTGAATGTGGTTCCGGCCCATACAACGTAGTCCACCGGATTGTAGAATCGCGGGCCAGGTCGCGTGGAACGTGCCGTGGACGACGGTATCCGGTAGTTTCGATTTGTCGGACAAAGAAAGCGGCTCGAGGAAAGAGGCAGCATCAACCGTCTTGATGCTGTGGCCTTGGGTCGCGCGAATTAAGAAGTTCGACGGGTCGGTATCTTTCACGGATAATGCTTGGTCGGTGGCTGATTGTTGGGCTTCGCTCGTGGCGGGTGCGGACTCCAGGACGGATGTCGCGGGTTGGTCTTCGCCCATGATAAAGCCGGCTTCGTTCTCTGCATCGGGGGGTGTGGCTGGTGTTGTCGTTGCTTGGGTTGTGGATTTGGTGGGTTGTGCGGATGGAATGTGAAGGAGGGCGAAGCGCTTTTTATCGGACGAGTCGACGGCGTGTAGAATCTCAGGGAAGGTGACTTTTAATGATTTGAGTTTTCTCCAATTTAACTGGACATAGGCATAGTCAGTATATCGCATGTTATTAGAGCCACAAAGCTGCATACCACGTCTGACACGCTCGCATAACCCTGCGCATTCATCTTCAGCCCTTCCTTCTCAGCGGCATGTCGCAGAAGCAAGCTTAATGCTTTGGAGACTTGAACATCGCGGCTTTGGCCTTGGCCATGCCCACGTCCCCGCTTATCTTTGTTGTTCTTTGGGTGATCCGTCATATTGAGGGATTCGATGCGGGGAGACGGGAATAACTTTTTGGTGGGGGCACTCCAAATATTAGAAGATGCGGCTCTACAACGCAATGAACAATACCTGACAAAGCTGCTACCATTCCATTACAGCACATTTCAGTAGCAAGGCTATTTCTATGAACACTCGGAATGAATTAAGTATGGGATCGCCTGAATAACAAGTTTAAGATCTAACAATATTAATTTCTTACGGGGCTCTGTGAGGCTATCATTTGTTGAGTTGGCCTGAATTAGAAATTACCTATTTAATCATCGGACAACGTCCACCCATATCACCTGTATACATGTAGGTATGATGTTTCCCAATAAGCGCATGGCTAAAAGTTCTGAAGCCTTGAAGATATGATGTCAATCTTCCGTGGGGTGTTACCCGATATTTTGGCAAAGTGAGGACCGACACGCAAGCCAACTCGCTTGGCTTTCCCAACTGTCTCCTTGAACAAATCCAGGCCTGTGAAACCGAGTTCCCTTGCCCCGATTATCTTGAGAGGCTTCAAATTCAAGCTATCCACGTGAATATGGCCGATGACCAGACCCTCCAGTTTGATCCATGCTTCTTCCAGCCTCACCCAGAAGAAATACTCCACACGTATGAGATAGTCAACGACAAAACATTCGGAAGGCCTCGGGACCTCCGCGGCTCTCTACTCCAACACTAGCGGAAATCTTAGAAGTGGTTCAAGAAGTGTATCAAGAGGAGTATCTGAATCATGAAGACATCCTCCAAGTTGCAACATCTCAACATGAACGCGTCTTGGATTGGGAGCAAGATGGGTGTCAAGACGGAATAGAAGTATACGACTAGTCCACTGGCACCTTGATATTTCCCGAAAAGGAGAACCAGGTTTTCGCCTATCCGACCTTGTACCCCACATACTCTGTTGGTAATTTAAGCTTTCTAATTACACATATGTGATATAATTCTGACTATTTATAGGAGGATCGTAAAGGAGACCCTCCTCTGGAAGTGTCTGGACTAGGCCGTAAGAGATAGAGGGTGAACGATCATTACCGCTATGAGGTTGAGGGCCCCATCAAGCCGATTCAGTTATGTCATATTTCGCGGACGCTCGCCCAGATATAGAAACAGATCTTACTATCTTCGAGTTAAAGGTAATTGTGGGCATGATGATTGTTCGAGCGTCTCAGACACCCTTCCGCATCTTCAGATTCCATCCAGTAAGTATCTAGCTCGTCTTTAGGTCTTAGCTTTTTGCTATCTTGGCAAATGGGCGAGAACCATCCAAACTTCCTTCGATGGCAAGACACTCACTTTACAATATTCACGCGCGTGGGCCTTTGAGGATGAAAACACAGCGCCAACAGAATTGTTCGTTCGGTATCACCTAAGTCAGCCGGTCGGTCTAGAGAGCTCCACTCTGTATGTTCGATAGTTCTGCTCTAGGTTATTGCTCTAATTTATTATATGGCTCGAAGTAGTAGAAGGGTGAAAAGCACAATTCCTACAAAACGGCGTTTTGATATATGATATCCGTATGCCTAGAATACATATTCAATTAATTAATAGGTTGTAATAGGTTAAAAGGCACGTGAATGGCCAATTCCTATTGCCAATAAAACCCAATAGGACTGACGTCCCTGGTTGTCGTTATGTTCCAATTCTTATACTCAAGGCAGAATGTTCAGCCTCAGAAGTATATGGGCATGTAGTTCGATAACCAAAACCAGTATATAAAGCTCCTATTAACATTCTTATAAATAGCAAGGGGGCTTTTCAGTGTTTGTTCTAGAGTGTCATGGCTATGGGTGCCCATGTGTCCTGATTACCCCTTTGGACCCGATTGTCTTGCATCTTGTAGTAGCCTGAATGACGAGTAGTCCTCAGTAAAGATAAACCCCCTTTCAGAGCGGCAGAAATGCCAATATTAAGGATATCGTAATAAGAATTGCAAAGGTCAGTGATCGACCGCGTGTCACTGGGAAAAGAAAGAAAAAGAAAGAAAGAAAGCACATCGTGAGCGGAAAACATGAAGATAAAAGGCGCAATCCCCCAATGTCGGAAAACCGAATTCCGATAAGAAAAGCCGACCCTTGAGATATATAATCTCCCTTTTGACAATCTCATTTCTGACTCTTCAATTTTGCGGTCACCCATCCTACATAGAAACCTCCCCGTCAGCAGTTGATTGAGACCACGAACTTCTGCAAGTGAAAAAATCCCCAGAGCAAGAAGTTGTTGCGTGATCCGGCTGCTCAGTACCACTGCTCGGGTGCGATTTGCTCCACCTTGGGCAGATCATTGGTATGGGTGTTGTCAGCCACCGCCTGTTCAATTTCAGGCTGCTTGGTCTTCAGCTGTAATTCGGAAGCTGTAAGTATTGCAGCGGCTTAGATCGTAGTCTCCACAAAGAGGGTAGGAGCAGTGCTGGTCTGCTCAGGGACGGGATTCTCATTGGATCTTTTAATCGAATCCCCGATGTCCATCCCCAAAGCGAGCTCAGTGTCCACAGTACTGCTGGAGCCAACAGGTTGTTTCTCCTCAAGGTCTGAGGGGGTGTTCCTGAGGTCTTTGGCAATCTCTTCGGTGCCCCTGTTTCATAGGAACTTCCATGCCCTCTTCAATCTTGTCTGTGTGGGAGTAGGTGCCTGCGAAACAGCTTGCCATGTGTCTAGACTGGTAATTAAGTGAGTGCTATAGTCCATAACATTCAACGCTCCAGGTGGACGCGCGATCTTGAACGTTATAATGAACAAGTCAAACCTAAGTAGTTTTTGATTCAGACACTCATAATTCATTCATTCCAACCTTAGTTTAGCGATCGTTTCTAGAGCTAATGCCCGTCATCCGAGCTAAAACAAGGAGAAAAGCTCTGCCATTAAGGCCAGATGAAAGACTATCTCAAAGCACTGCAAATGCAGAGACATAGCTTACCGAGCTGTCATCGATCTCTTCTACATCCGAGCTACGCTCGTATCGCAGAAAGTAAAAGCGTCCTTCCTGCTCGACCGATTGACTTGCCGTGACAAACTCCAGTGCTGCCATGATTACCCCAATTGGATGGCGCCCGCATACTGTGTTACCCGTGCGTTCAATGATGTCGAGGAAAGACTTTGCAGATCCCGTCGTGATGGCAGCCATGGTAGCCATATCAAATGCTGAGATACTCTCATGAATGGCAGGTTCACGGCTTGAGATGAGATCGCGTTGCCGCAGGGAGTGACCAGCTGAGACCATCTCGACAGCCTGCTCGACACTGCTTGCGTCCATTCCGGGTTGCGGAAGTATATCACCAGACAATGGGAGTTGTGGCCCTGGCCTGGGGGCCTGTGGAACATAGTATGTGTAGCGGAATCGGAGGCCCCAGTGGCAGAAATCTGAACTTATCACAAAGGCGTTTGCCGGGTCCGCCAGGTAGGGGGCTAGGAGGGCCCCAAATGCTTGCTCTGTCGCAGCAGAGGTATTTCCGACCATGATTGGGACTAGAGGTGGGTATTCAGAGGCTGGAGAATCTGGATATTGGAGCTGGAGCAAGCGGTGGATGTAGGGCAAGTGCATCTCGATACTGTGCTCATCTTCGTCGACCGAGCGCGACATGGTTGTAAAGCTGATCTTTGTCCCGTTTGATCTGGTTGCCTGGGTTTGGAGAAGCTGGGTAATCAGCTCGGTGTCTAGTGGGAGGGGTTCATCGGATAGAGGGGTACGGTAGGAAGTTAGCGTTGGAAGAGCCAGTGTTGCGAGTGAGACATGGTGTGATGGCCCCAGGATAAAGATTCGCTTCCTATTTTGAGGTTAGAGGAGTTTCGTAAAAGAAGCGGCAGGTAAGCCCACGCTTTGGAGAGATCCAGAGCCTTGTATGCGTAGGCTGCGCAGGGCCCTGAGTACGAATAGCCCGCATGCCTGGTTGATTAGTATGCTTGATTCTGGATAATGTCATATGTATGGTAGGGGGTCTCAAGCATACGGTGCGATGATCACTCTGGCTCCTGGAGTTGGCAGTGAGCCGACCTTCTCCATTGTGTCTGGCACCTGCGCCAGCCAGCCATCCAGCTGACGGGCCAGGGTGCGGGCACTATCAGAGTACCATGATCCAGAGTGAGAGGCATATCGAGATGGCATTGTATGGTTTGAATAATGAGTTAATGTCAAGGTCAAATGTGAGAAGTGGTTGTGTCTCTACAAGCTGGAGCTCTCCAATTGAGAAGTGGGGGAAGCGTGGTGGGGATCCCGAACGCTCTAGCCAGTGCGCCAATGGGAAGATATTGGGAGATCTAATAGCAAGTGTTATTGATTGGATTTTATCTACTTGGAAATTGAAAAAGACATGCACTAGATATATATTTCCTGTAGAAGTTTCTAGTCAATATTGTATTGCGAATTTCCATCTCTGATTATCTTCTGGAACCTTGCAAGTACGTATATGTACGGTACCTATAACACACCTTGCTGGCAAACAAAGTGGAAGGGTTGAATAGCTGCATATAGAGGAGTGCCTGTTTGGAAAGACACCGAAAGAAACAGTCACCAAGAGTTCGAAGGTTGTACATCCCTGGATATATGTATGTTATGTTTGAAGAAGTGTAGGCCTGTCCTGGATACCGAAAGAATGATCGCGACTAGGGACAGTCGCGTGATCGAAGCAACGGCATTGATATCTCTAGGTCAGATATACATATGTATCTTTTATGAAATAGTCTGCTTCTTAAATGTAGAGGCCCTAGAGCTCAGTTGGGGAAAGTTGTCACGAGCATGCAACTGTCACCTATATTACCCGTTTCGGCTTAGCCTCACGGAATGCAACGCGAATCCTGGAAATGACGCGCTCAGTCAATTGTGTTTGCATCGCCCAGTCCTCGTCTCAATTCCTCGCTACACCAATCTTCTCTTGTCATTACTCCCCGTCAGACTTTTTATTTGCGATTACCTCTACATACCCCCTACCGATCCATCTCACTATACACCCGAGCTCTAAAATGTCCCTCAAGCGGAAAGCTTCGTTCACTCTCCCGACCAGTCCCTCAGTTCCGGCCCCCAGTGAATGGGGCATGATGATCGATGGGAGCACACATCTTCACAGTCGGACGCGAAAGCGCTTCAGAAACGATCGTCCCAGTGACGAAGTGATTTACCGTAAGTGCCTCGCCTTGCCCTTGTAGCACTCTCCCTTGATTGTGTCAACGTTCAACCTTGCTAACAGCTGGCAGAGAACACCCTTCGATGGATATTCTCCGCCCAAAGGCAGCAGACATCTACACAGACCACCGATATGGATACAATGGACTCAGAGCCGACTCTCGAAACACCAGAAGCCATTGACCCCCGACAGCAAACACTACACCGATTCTTCCAACAGAAACCCCAGCAATCATCGTCTTTCCGACCTTCGCGTCAAGCGCTTGCACCTCGTGCAAATGAGACTGCGCTCACCCAGGAGGACGTCGTGCGTCTCCAGGCGTTTAATCAAATGAGTTCCGGAGACAGCTCGAGCGAGAGCAACAGTCCCGAATCCAACCAGACGGGTGGTGATCTGGACGTGGATATGGACATGGATATGGACGTGGATGGCAAAAGAGGTAGTGATGGATTGGATCAAGCGCCCAAGAACTGGGTAGGAGGAATGGCCTGGATGTAATTTGGTTGCACGGGTCCTTTTCATCATCGCGCGCTGGCGGTTATACCGGGAGAGGTTATCATTACCTTTCCATTCATTTCGTGATACCTATTTGGCTATTTTGGGCGAGGTGTTACTGGCTGATTATATTGACTTGCTTTTTGTTCTTCTCGAAAGGAACTGAGAGACTTTTCGGTCTTTGGCGTCTATGGAAGCCTGGGGATACTTGAAAGACTAGGTGCTCTGACTTTTAATGAATATATATACCTAGATATCTGGCTTGATCTGATTTTCTGGTGACTCAAACTCGATTTGCAGGTTTGGGCAAGGGTGCGTCATCATTTGATCCGGCCCGAGGTAGCTCTGTTGCAGGTATTGTGATCGCTTGCCTAGAATGGTAACTATCGATATAACCACTAGTACATATATAAAGATACGTATAGAGCAAGTTATTAGCTGGTCCCAGATTTAATATACTGACTCTTAATTATTTGCACACTATTGCTTTCAGCATTGTAGATTTTGGCGTGATGGCTGTTTGTGGCTGGCCACGGCTGTCATTTGCATTATATGGCCTCAGGCATCAACAAGGTTGTTTGTCCACCCGACGTCGTCCCTCCTTCAATTGAACTACTACAAGGCCAGGGGAATCCCAAACCACAAGAGCAATTACTTAACTTTGCCAACTCCCCGAATAATCCGACACTGTCCTTCCCCCTGCGTCGAATCCTTTTCAGCTCGGCTACCCTCAGACTTCAACTCCACCGCACATTGGAGGTCCTTTGGCTGCTGACACGAGCAACGCACCAACCACAATGGATCACGATCAGTCTATACAGTACTTGGAAGGGCTCTTGGGTCGCACATTGCGGATCCATACCACAGATACTCGGATGTTTGTCGGGCTTTTCAAGTGTACCGATGCGGTAAGCAGTCACATATGAACTACGAGCTATAAGGTTTGAAATAGCATACAGCGAGTGGTACTAATCGAAAATTCCTCAACAGGACCGGAACATCATCCTAGCCAACTCTTTTGAATATCGTATGCCCACCACAACTGCCGTACAAGCCGCCGCACACGAGAAAGAGTCGTGGGGAGAAGGGTCCGTCAAAGTGAACATGACGCACCGGTTGATAGGCCTCATTGTGATCCCAGGACGACACATTACGAAAATAGAGCTTGAGTAAGCCTTAATTTGATTCCAACTCGGGCTCGTATCCACGAGACCTTCACTTTCCCACCTGGGGATCGTTCTCTATTCTATTTTCGAATGATAGACCTGGCTCTACTGCCCCACAATACCAAGCAGCATGGCAACCACCTATTGCATCCACCCACGCGGTATGCTGCAGGAGAGGCCCGGTGTCTGCCCTGCGGCCACAATCACCCTGGTCCCTGCCTTTCCGCCAGGACTAGAGTTGGGCGCGGGGCTGCCAAGAGGAGGCTTTCTTGCAGTGCGCTCGCTGCTCGACCAAGGTGGCGCTGGGAACACAGCAGCTGCATCGCAGTGTCGCAGCATCCGAAGGTAGCTTGGCTGGCAGGTCTGCAGTCAAGTTATCGGATAGGAAGATTGTTTGTGGCAGGCGGTTTCGGCGGACAAGGGGTGAATGGAGGGGCAAAAAGGCGGTGTCTCCGCCACAGAGATCCCTTGGCATGCAGCGTGCTTGCTTTCGTGCAGAACCAAGACTATCTGTGGCTCGTGTCCGCTTCCGCTGCGATCTGATCATGGGGGGGGGTGTATCTTGGTTCTGAACGGACGCTACTATTCTCTAGCCGCCTTCCACTGTTGGAAGTTTTTGCAGGAAGCTTACGCTCTATCTCGCAGCAACATATAACTTTGTGATGTATCATTGTGCTTTCGAACATAGTGTCGAGTCCTTCAGTTAGTGGGCGCTTCACTTTTATCTCTATCACTTCTGATAGGAGACGTGCCCAAGGTGGCGGGGGTCCAAGCTCCAGATAGGTTCTCTTGCGAATGGCCGGGTGGGTTCGGAGGAACATTTGAAGATTCTTGGTGTCCGACTGGCTCTGCAAATTCATTTGTGATGGTCTCTTCAGGTGGCCCAAATTTAAATGTAAATGCATGTACGTTGTAGGAGAAAAGCATTCAGATGGTCGCTTATCGAGAGCTAATAGTGGGGTTCCCAGACATTGAAAAGACACCCTAAAAAGACCAACGGATTTATTTAAAATATGAAAATGAAAGAGAATATTGTTCAGATATTGGGGAGAAAGTAAAGGTACCATAAGATAGAAGAAAGAAAACAAAGAAGATATTTCGAAAATTTGTGCGCTGTAAAGACATATAACTATACAGACCTGACAAGGGACTTCAGATTTACGTGTACTAGTTTGGTTGATTTAAAAAGAAAAAGAAATCAAATCAAATAAAAAGAAAAATAATAACCTTTCCCTTGAAGCTGATCATGAAAACCCAGGAATCCATGAATCTTCAGTATAAATATGAGAGTCCAGACTCTTCTCTCTCTTCAGGCAAATCAGGCAACTGCGTTGTCTTGGACTCTTTTCCAAAGTTGGACAAGGTTCTTTGTATATCTCGGCCCGAGAGATAGTCCGGCTGACCTAATCCACCCACCCTGATCGAGACCGCGCCCAAGGAAACGGGAAACCACAAAATCAGCCACTTTGTACCCGCGAAGTACCTTTTTGCTGTACTAAAGGTGGCGGAGTACTTTTGCCTGCATCTCTTGACCTTTCTGACCTTGACTTGCTCAAGTTTCAACTTTCCTCTTCCCCTCTCTCTATTTCCTTGTTTTCATCCTTGCAGGGAGCTTCCACCTTGATCTGTGATATATCTCCCACTATCTGATTCTTCTTGAGGTAAAATTTACCCCCGGGGTGTCTGGCTGCGGCCTATTATGTGGAACACCCAACCCCCCGTACATAATGACGCATTCCTCTACCCGCAAACCCACCATTCCCAGTCCTTCTCCATTAAAGACCTCCCTTGCTTATTTTTTTTCCCCTTCTCTTTCTCATCAATACCTCCACATGCCACCTGGGTTTCTGTGGAGTCAGCCCTGCAATCCCGCATCTGCATTGTCTCGTGCAAGAGGCTAACTTTCGGTAGAGCTTCCTGAGCCTCTCGACCTCGGAGCCTCCGCCCTTATCTTTAGCTTCCCACCATTCGAACCCCCCTCCACCCGCATCAATCAACAAACGTCTAGCCTGCTACCAAGATCATCACCTTGACCTCGCCACCTCGCCCCGTTCGCCTTGTAACAGTGCTCATATCTCGCACTTGCCTCTCCCTGTGTGTTCCTCAAGTGTCCTGACTAGGTGAATTAGTGATAATCAGTTCTCACACAAAGCGTTGCTCATTCCTTGCAGAGTCTGTCCAAGCTCTTTGTAATATTGCAGAAGCTCGGGCCAAGACATTCCAGCAACACAACAGGGGTTTCTCGGCATAACAGTTGGAACTTCCATCGTTCGTGCGATCATTTCAAACTCAAGCTTGGCAGTTACCCGAGCCTTGTAGTGATGGGTCAGTCGCATTCCAAGGGCAACGCCTCAGGCGACCCTCTGCAGTCCTACCCTTCATTTTCCAAGTCCGACACCAAAGAGTCTCTCCGCTCGTTCCGCGGCTCAATCCGATCGAAAATCCCTGGTGCTCGCAGTTCCGATAGCCCTCGCGGCTCCACCACTGCTCTCTCCCAGACTGAGAGCCAAACCGACAAATCCGATGCTGGATCCCTCAAGTCTGTCGGGAGCCGCCCTGGCTCCAATGCCGGCCTCCCCCAGTCGCCTGCTTCCGAGAGCACTTCGCGGCCCGGCTCCCCCCAGCCCCCGCCGTCTCCCTCGCTTTCCACGACCTTGCAGCGAGGCCACAAGGATGTTAACGCGATGAAGCAAAGTGGCGAAGTTGACCATGTGTCAGATGGCCCTCCCTCGGGTGGCCCCCCGACTGGGACTGCCGCGGTCGCTGGTGAATCAATTCTGATGAAGCGAGAGAACCAAATGAATCCCATTTTGGACTTCATCTTGAACGCTCCCCTGGAGACTTCTGGATCTCCCGGGATGGGTATGGGCGCTTTGAAATCCATTGATTTGGACGACATGATTTCGCGACTCCTAGACGCCGGTTATTCCAGCAAGGTTACCAAAACAGTCTGCCTCAAGAATGCGGAGATTACCGCCATCTGCACCGCCGCTCGCGAGCTCTTCCTGTCGCAGCCTGCTCTGCTGGAGCTGTCGGCTCCCGTCAAGATTGTCGGCGACGTTCATGGCCAATATACTGACCTCATTCGACTCTTCGAGATGTGTGGATTCCCCCCCGCTTCTAATTACCTTTTCTTGGGTGATTATGTCGACCGAGGCAAGCAGAGTCTGGAGACGATCCTTCTGCTGATGTGCTATAAGCTCAAGTACCCCGAGAACTTCTTCCTGCTTCGAGGAAACCATGAGTGTGCCAACGTTACCCGTGTTTATGGGTTCTATGACGAGTGCAAGCGTCGTTGCAACATCAAGGTCTGGAAGACTTTCATCGATACGTTCAATTGTCTCCCGATTGCTGCGATTGTGGCCGGCAAAATCTTCTGTGTCCACGGCGGTCTCTCCCCAAGTCTTTCGCATATGGACGACATTCGCGGCATCGCTCGCCCCACTGACGTGCCGGACTATGGTCTGTTGAACGACCTCCTGTGGAGTGACCCGGCAGACATGGAGGAAGATTGGGAACCTAACGAGCGTGGTGTCAGCTACTGCTTCGGAAAGAAGGTGATCATGGACTTTTTGCAGCGTCACGACTTCGACCTTGTTTGCCGTGCTCACATGGTGGTTGAGGATGGATATGAGTTTTACCAGGATCGTATTCTGGTGACCGTGTTTTCTGCACCGAACGTAAGTCGCTTTCTCTTGTGTTTCACTGCGACTCTCACTGACCTTCTACAGTATTGTGGCGAGTTCGATAACTGGGGCGCTATCATGTCAGTCTCCGGTGAACTTCTTTGCAGCTTCGAGCTTCTCAAACCCTTGGACTCGACCGCCCTGAAGAACCATATCAAGAAAGGCCGGAACAAGCGCAACAGCATGCTGAACAGCCCCGTAAGGAACCCCCCTTTGGATTTTCCCCCATGTGATCAACCTGGCTGCATCGCACGACACTGCCGAGCTTTCTTTTTGCGAATTATGCAGATCCTGTATCCCGTATCTTCTTGAACGAATCGCTAACCAATTCCAGCCTGCGGCGGTATCGGCGCAAAGTTATTAGGCCCCACCGATCCCTCTACATTTGAAATTGACACCATCTCCTGCGATCGGTCCTTGCTGTCATGGTCTTGATTACCCTGACGGTCATTGACCGGCAATGAACACGACTTTCACCAAACTAGCAGCGTGGTAGCCTATCCCTTGTTTGATAATGGCTGATCACTGAAAACGCTCTGCCACCGCGGCTCTCGCACCAAATTCCGGACCCAATCCCCCCGGTATGGATGCCCAAAATGAGGCTTGGCGCAGAAGTGAACCGGATTCCTCTGACCGGTCCGCGTCTCGGATCCCTTAAGGCACCGTAGCATGCATGGACCCGCAGATCCCAAATTTGCACACTCAATGGAAAGACATGCTGGAGTAAAGGCATGTGGAATCTCTATAGGCCACTTTATTGTCGCCTAATTCGGTTCCAGCTCACAATGCAGACGCGTCCAGACCCACGGCATTTTTCTTCGGCCCCCCTAAAATCATAGCCATGTATCTCTACATGGCTTGGGTCATCAGGCCTTTCGTTTCTGGTTGGCATTCTCCTGCATGTACTTACAATATCTCTACTCTTTTATCCCAAACAAATGGTATCACTTGAGCATCATTCGGCTTTCTTTGTTCCACGTATCTAGCTATCAGCATGGACCGTTCTAGTTAGTATATTTAAGCTGCGTAGGATCTTCAGTTCTTTTGGGTATTTTTTTAAGATTATCTCTCCAATATTCCTATTGATCGTCTAGCGAAGTAGCGCGATTGGCTAGACTCTTCGGTGGGTAAATCAAGTGCACACCGCTACATACTAAATGCCCTGGTAGCTTGACCAGAAGCCGGCGAAAAAGACCGAAATGGTTTGCTGATTCTCGGTAGAAACCCTGTACAAACCAACGCTCACGAGTTGTACGTCTAGGCCTCTCTCGGGACCACTTTCCGACAAGCCTCGGCAGCTCACCCGCCTTCGAACATCGCCTTTATGCACATGCAGTACTTGGGTATCAGGTGCGATTCGCAAAAAAATTGGACTTGGTTCACACCTGTGCTGATAAGGAAAGCTTCACTAATGATATCCAGCATGCGCTTAATGATAATATGGCAGAGCTCTCTATTTGCTTTTTCACAAACTAAAATTTCGTGGCAGACCAGTGATGAAGGGATGAAGGTCAAACAAAGAAAAACAAAAACGTGTTCCTCAATCAAGTTTCCTTCCGACTACTCCCCTCCAGCTGGCGCAAGCCCCCAGTCGAACGAGCGACAGATTGAACCTGGACCCTAACTTTGGCTGCAAAAGGATTCGGATCCGTATTCTGATCCAAGTTCCCCAAAGTATGATTGACATCACGATGTTTCGCCTCATCAGCACGCACATACAGCAACAGTGAATGCATACAGCGTTGACCTTCCGGCATCTGCCAGTACTTAATTGCCATCTCGGGAGCCTGCAAGCTCTCCCATCCAGGCAGATGACCGTCCTCGAGGTCACGGATTGCCTTCGAGTATGTGATCACAGCTTCTTCTTCTAGATACCCCACGAAGCGATGACATATCTGAGGTGAGATGAGATATGCTAGGGAGAATCCGCTGAAAAATACCCACTGCGCGCCCAGGACCATGAACCGCATTGTTGGGCCTGGCTCGGCAAGCTTGAGGAAGGTGAGGAGGTGCATTCGTTCGTTGTAGGCTTCTTCGAGGAGAGTCTCTATCCTGTATTGTGTGAGATTATACATACACTTCCATGCAGCAAGAAGACGGCCGGTATCACTCACCATCCGTTGTCTCTCCTCATTCGCCGGATGCTTTTGAGATGGCGGAGCATCCCTGCTACCATCCCTGGAACGCCGGCTACGCTTTCCAGGAAGATGAATCTCGTGATCCATTTCTCCTCGGTCATGAGGTAGGTTTTGGAGAGCGTGTTCGTTGGTCGTCTGTGATATCCGGAGACGAGATCCATACCCCAGCGCAAGAAGCGCACGGTTCCAAGAGCTGCTCTATCTTGCCAAGTGTATGCTTTGCGGTGGGCGGTTCGGACAGCAAGGATCTGTTCTTTCGTGTATCTAGTAGGATGGCGATATATGTCAGACACAAATCTTTCTCGTTTTATATAAGGAGCAATGAAGAAAAGGTTTCCAATGAGGACATACACCGGATGTGTCCATGATGACTTTTGGCCAATGTGTGTGCTTGTTGTATGGCTTCGCTTGATCGGCAACAATGTAGACAGACTGCTATGTCCGCTGGGCTGAGCACATAATATACTGCCTGTCCTGATCATCGCACTGTGCTGAAGACGGGTGGGCACAAGAGAAAGACGAGCTGTACTTGTTTGGAGCTTCATGACTATCAAACAATATGAATGTAATAATGACTTTCGTGTAAAGGAAAAGACAAAAGGACGAGAGATCTACACAAGCTGCAAATGTTTTGATTCTGGAATTGAATAGTCAAAGTTCGACAGAATTGCCCGTCTTTTATGCCATGGATGTTCTGCTTCCTACAATGCAGAACGCAGAATATGACTCCACAATTGTTGAGGATCTCGTGTTCTACAATATACAGTGTATGCTCGATAATAGCTTCACCAACTCCGCGATAATACATTGTAGATGGCTACTGCAAGGAGAAGATCACGCCTTGTTAAACCCTAATCTCCCGATTTCATCCGACACCGAGGAAAAACTCGGGTGAAGAAGTCCTGGATGGCATTTTCGTGACTCATTGGAAATTATATGTTGAGGAAGAGTCAGTTCGACAGCAAAAGATAATACTATGTATAAAAGGGGTTTGTAGACTAGTGATCTCAAGTTTTGTCTATTGTACCGTCCACGGGTAGGCTGCCATCTGGTGATGGTAGACTCAAAGTGGAAACTGGGGATAACGAAGAACGAACTAAGAGTTACATACTTATATATCTTGGGAATGAACGTAGCTTCCTCTTGATAAGTGCAATAATTGAACCTTGCTACCTTATAGCCGACTAGGGTTGGTCGGAAATATGTCCTCTTCCTTCATCTTTTGCTCATACAACAAACCCATATCAGAAGACATAGACTGTATAGGACAGCCAATTTCCATATGCAAATTGAATTAGTGATGCTATTCTATACTATTCTACCCTTCGAGAAACTAGTCAGTTTTTAACATGTATCCTTTCGGGTGATTTTGCTAGATAATTTCCACTCCCAACGCCATTACTTATTGAAAGGAGAAAGTCGCAATTGCTAATCATCTTATCATCCTAGTTATTATGATAGAATTTGACTGGAACTGAGATTCCGAAATGCTCGAAGACAGTCATGACCACCAAGTAAACTGCTGCGGTCTGTTAAAGCAACAAATATTGCGCTTTAGTGATATTGTAGGCTCTATTCTACAATATTCTATCTAATATATCTCTCGCCCTAGCGATGATATATCCTTCCATGAGGTGTGGGATAGGTCGTTAAAAGGATCCAGTGAAGATTGTACTTAAACCTTTCCGTCATGCTGAAAGATATCAATAACCCACACAGGAGCATGAAAAGACCTGTTGACAATGCATACTTCTATCTTCATATCACTTGACCAAATACCAAATAGGCGCTGTCGGTAGGCATACCGTTGATAACATGGACAAGCAACCCCGCCCCCGGCGAGTCTCCCGTGCAGACATTCCACGAACGCATCATCTGGATCACCAATAGGACCAGTTCTCCGAATATACTCTCCGGATTCCATTACTGTTTGTGGAGAGACTGAGCAGCAATAATCACCCCGCATGGTGGGTTTAATTAATTATCAAAGGCACCGGGCGCCTGTCCGAGATGCTATCTGGCACTCTACCAGGGTAACAACACTGAAGGATAAAGAAGCTGGTCCCTGCGCTTAATTTGAAGTGAGCAGAAATCGAAATCCATAATATAATCCAAAAGAAATGGGTACCTTGCTTCCTGGAATGCCTCTAACTGCTCTTGCGCGATGCATTCGACCAACGAGCAATGTGAATGCCTCGACGACACTGCGATTTACTTCAACACTGCAAGCTCAAGCGCAAGTGAAGACTGTCACGAACGCCTCATTACCACCCCTGTCTGCTTTACCGGCGCGTGTCTTGCTCAGATCTCTGCTGGTCTCTACGATATCGTCGAAGAGATTCCTACTCATTCCCGCGCTTTCGTTGATGTCCTTCCTCTCCAAGCCTAACAGGATCTGGCTATTCGATGTGGATCGGAATCCAGTCCTACATGGAATATTAAAGACGACGTTCTATAATCAATTCTGTGCTGGAGAGAATGGGGCAGAATGCAGATCCACCATCCGAGAAATGAAAGACATGGGCTTCCGCGGTATGATTTTGACATACGCTGCTGAGACTGTGTTTGATCATAGCACCCAGGCTCAGAATGGACAGGGCATTGCTGCTTTGAAAAGCGAGAAAGGGGATGTGTCCATTGACGCTTCGGTCTCCCAATGTCCCAGCATCGAAGCTTGGCGAGAAGGGACAGTTGAGACCATATACATGACGGAGGCAGAAGATTACATCGCAGTCAAGTAAGTTACTCGGATCCCACCCTTTCATGGAGTAGCGACTGACCATGTACAAGGTTGACAGGTGCTGGCGTCAAAGTCACCGAGGCTTTTACTGCTGGAGAGTTGCCACCGCAGCAAATGATGGATGCGCTACATGAAATCTGCACCAAGGCGAAAGACCGAAAGGTTCGCATTCTCGTCGATGCCGAGTCTCAGCATTTCCAGAAAGGCATTGCACGAGTTGCTGTGGAACTTATGCGTAAATACAACCGTGACGGTTATGCAACCATCTACAATACCTACCAGGCGTACCTCAAAAGCACACCAGCGACACTGGCCAATCATCTCGCTGTGGCAAAAGAAGATGGATTCACCCTCGGCCTCAAGCTCGTGAGGGGCGCATACATGGCCACGGATGAACGGTCCCTGATCCATGATACGAAGGAAGATACCGACAACGCATATAATATGATTGCCCAGGGGGCACTGAGAAAGAATGTTGGAGAATTCGGAGACAAGGGCAGCCGCGATTTCCCCTCGGTGAATCTGTTTCTGGCAAGTCATAACAAGGAGAGTGTGGTGGCTGCCCACGAGCTCCACAAGCATCGTGTCATGTCTCGCTTGCCCACTGTGCCTGTGCGTTTTGCCCAACTCCATGGTATGTCTGATGAAGTTAGCTTTTCGCTGCTTCAGATGAATGATGGTGATGGAACACCAGAAGTTTACAAATGCTCCACCTGGGGAGGTATGGGCGAATGTTTGGCCTATCTTGTTCGTCGGGCAATCGAGAACCGTGATGCTGTTCTGCGGACAGATAGTGAGTATCGGGCATTGAAGAAGGAGGTTTTCCGCAGAGTGAAGTCCATATTTTCTCTTTCGCCATCTTCATAGCGTACCAAATGACATATGAATTTGTGATCAATGTTTTATACTGACTTATTATACCTTCAGATTCTTTCAATGGGGTAGACCCAGGAATAGAGTAAATCTGCATGGTGTAGAGAGATAAACTGGCTGGCAGCGGGAGCCACGACGGCCCGACTGATCTTCATCTTCACCACGGGAGACCCGACGGGTCATTACTTCCAATTTTGGCGACTATAACATAGTTTCAGAAGGATTGAGTATGCATAATCAGTGCTGGTTGTGTATATCTTCCGGAGTAATGATGGCAGTGATCTACACATGTATGTCAGTTTAGGTAAAGATCAGCATCTTGTCGGTAATCTCGGAACAGTGTTATTATCATAAGCATCGAAAGTTGGATTAAAACCGGTTCAGCTCCCGGAATAGAGGAAGCAGTGACATCAAGGGAGTTTGGCCTAGCATCGTTGAGTTTCCTTGTCGTTGTAGATAACATATCGCCCTGGAGCTCACCGCAATAATGACGTGATGATGTTAGGGAGGTCAATAATGTTCAGTACATTGTTTCACAGCCATTATCAAAGGCGTTAGAGCTGAGGCAGTGCGCAACTTGCGTCATATGGCCATCAAACGTACATACATATGTATGTAGCCAGAGGTGGATAAAGTGATACATGAGATAAGAGTGAGTTGCAAGGGGCTTAACACCGCTCTACTCGACGCCTCAGGTTCATAGCCCTCAAACTTATCTGAACACGAATGTACAAAGTATGACAACTAGAAGTTAAGAGGGAAAATTGGTATGAGGCATTAATAGAGGAGATATTGACTTTACGGAGTCGCCAATGGATGGGAATGCGGAGATGCGGACCTCGGGAGTCCGGGGCCAATATTGCGATGTAAGTCTGGGCCTGATCCATAGCGCTACTCTGTATTACGCCTAGCGTTGTATTGTACCAGACTTGGACGAAGCTTAAGCTCCACTCAAAGTCAAATATGAGAATTTGATTGGCCAGTCCGGAGAACGCCCGAAGCTTGGTAAGCTTGTTTTTCCTCTGTACTACTAACTAGTTAAGAGTTCTCTTCAGTCTGGGGCCCCTCGCTTCAGGATTTAGTAAGCGGGAGTGTCACAGCCCCTGGAAGCTTTTAATTCTGATGTTCTCCTCGGAATCGTGCGAGAGCTGAAGTTTTTGAACTCATCAGAGAGAATACTTCTTAACACTAAATTGAACGCGATGGCCCCTAAGCTCAAAGGCAAGTCATTGAGCCTCGTCATCGGTCTTGTTGGCGCTGTCGGATTTACACTACAGGGTTACGATCAGGCAGTTGCCAATGGACTTTTGACACTAGGCTCTTTCATTGCTGTCTTTCCTCAAATCGATACCGTGCATACCAGCGGTAGTGAGAAATCTCACAACTCTACAATTCAAGGTATTGAATACATTGTTACAGCTTAACAAGAGCCATGTTGACCATTACAAGGCACAACGGTGGCTATCTATGAAGTTGGATGTGCACTAGGTGCAGGTTCCTGCGCCTTTCTAGGTGACAGACTTGGTCGTCGCAAGACCATCTTTCTTGCCGGTTGCATCGCGTTAGCTGGTATAGCTATCCAAGCAAGTCCCTTCTCGCTCGGTCAGCTTATTGCAGGCAGAGTCATTACTGGTAAAGTTCCTAACCTATCGTTGAACAAAGTACAATAAGCTAACCAGTAATTAAATAGGTCTTGGTGTCGGTGGCTTCACCGCTACAATCCCAATGTACGTCTCCGAGTCATCTGGGGCAGAGGCCCGTGGACGAATGGTGCTGCTAGAGGGGTGGTTTGCAATCGGCGGTATTGTTCTCGCAACATGGTTAGAATTCGGGCTCTACTATATCAGCGACAACTCTGTCAGCTGGCGGTTTCCTATTGCATTCCAAGGCCTCTTTGCTCTTGTTGTTGTGGGGTGTATCATGCTCCTACCC